TGTTGTGTGCAAATAGCAGAATTGAGTCTGTTAGAAGATAAGAGTCTGCATAAGTGACAGGATAAGAGTTGACATGGTGTTCGATTTCTTTCTTTCCCGTTGCTGTTCCTTTCCTTTTCTTCGTTCGTATTTTTTCTCCGGTCCCTTTCTTCTTTAGGAAATGCATTAAGCCAGGGTTCCCATGTATAAATGAGGGTATGGGAGTGGACATGGTGTGCGTCCGGGCTTGTGTGCTGCTGGGCTTGCCCTGTTTGGTCTTCCCAACAAAACACCTGCAGCCATCAGCGTGGCCTTTGCTGTGTGAAGGGGCCGTTCCAAGGGTCTCAGAATGGTTTTTGTGCGGCCCAAGACCTTGCTGTGCAGTGTGCATGTTGTGTGAATATCAAAGTTTCTTAGCAGGCCAGCATTCAGACGTGTCTTGTGTTACCACTTGCTGTGTGAACCGTCTTCTTGGGGTTACTCAAAGGAGCAAGACACCTGGGCCATCCTGGGCCGTTGTCAGGTCCATCTATGGTAGGCGCATGATTTAGGACATGTTGTCTTGATTGTCAACCGCTTCCCCATTCATTTTGTGTGTTAAGTGCCGTAGGAACACGTTCACATGACCTTCCACTGATTCCTGCCTTGTCAGTCCTGTGGGGACGTGCTTGATAGCTCATTATATACACATATATTTGTTCTTAAAGGAGAAAAACAGTAAAGGTGAAGGGCAGTACTTCAACGAATGTGTTGTGAAAGAGTGTTGAGACAGATTTGTCTACAAGAGTATTCGGCGTTTGCAGCTTTGTGCCCAGGACGGCCCCAGTCTGGCATCCAATTGAAGAGTTTTCGGTTTGTTTATGCATTACTGCCAAGTGCACAGACAGATCTTTGTCCACCAGCAAGAGAATGGTTTCTCCTCCTGTAGCGCAATTTATTGCTGAAACTTCAGAAGGCTTCCAAGGTGCGGATGCTGTCGTTCGGACCTGTCGCTGAAATTGCTATTAGCACCAAGAAGTGGCAGTGATTCCCACAATCATCAGTGATCAAATTAGGATTAAAAGGAGACCATGCCGTGACTCATTGGACATATCCGGAAAGCGCAAAGAAGGGATCAGGAGCTTAGCCTATGAAGTGGTTCCATGTTACACTGATTTTTGGTTTTGTTTGCACCTGGAGTTAGTGTGTTGCTTGCCCTGGGAGGCTGCTTCCAAGCCTTATGCGGCCCGTGGGCTGACAAGCTCCAAGGCCATTATCTTTTCCGTGTCAATTGGATCAGAAAGAAGGGGGACGCTCGTTTTGTGAAATACTGAGGGAATCAAGATGCAAACAGTTTTTGCCACCAGGTCTACGTTTAAGTTTGTATACATACATTGTTGATGTACGGGGATTTTGTATTGCCTTGTCAGAGTACCAGAGGGTAGCAAACCCTGACTCACATCAGAAGTCTGCCTCCAAGCTGCTTGACAGCGCGCATAGACTTTCGCATGCAGAATGGGAGGAGCGCCAACGTGACAAACGCGTTCCTAAAAGAAAAGCGCGATCCTGAACATGCTTTTGGATGCTTTTGGAAGTTTGCTAGATCACAATGTTGCACAACTCAAAGAACGCATTGCAAATCAGTCATCAAGTTGTTTTCTTCAGAATCTGAATCAGTGTCCTTCTGCAGCGGGCTCTGTGCGCTTAGAAGCACTTTGCACAGCGTGACGACTTTGCAATTCACTATATTTTTTTCCACAGCTGTGGATTGGAGACATGGATCCTGACCAGCTCTTTGAGGTGAGTTGTAAGACATAGCCAGGATGTTTGATCCAGTTCTTCTCACTCATATTGTTGCTTCGTCAAGTCCAGTGGCGAGTCAACTCTCAGTAAAAACCTGAAACCTGAAACAACCATAATGTTGGTCGCCAATGATTGCGGCCCACATGCGTGCCGGGTACATGGCCGCTGGAAGCGTGGATGCTTCTTGGATGACAAAGTGTTTATTTGTCAAGTGTTCGTGTCAGGTATTTTCTGAACAAATCAGCAGCCAAGAATTGCTTGAAACATCTTGAAACATCTTGAAACATGTTCTCCTACTTGTAGCTTTTTTGTTTTAGGCATTTTCCTCCCGTGGTCCAACTTTGGCTTCTCCAGCATCTCGCACAAGAACTTGCTGCAAAGCTGGATAACGAAGGGGACAGCTGGCAGCTTCCATTCTTTGAGGCCGACGTGCCTCCGTCAGACTCCTAGCTTCCGAGATTTCTTGTTTCAGCGAGTTCTGAATCTTGATGTTTGGAGAGCCTTTTCGAAGAATACGCTTGAAATGCAAGGTGTTCAAAGTCTGGACCAACCCAGCTCGAAAAAGTGTGGGACCCAGGAACCAGATGTTGAGCCAGTGCAAGTGATGAGGTCATTGGTTTTGCATCATAGTAGGATTTTTTGACAGGCACCTTTCAGATTCCATTGCAACTTGTTGATGCATTTGACGTAGGCGACTGCGACGGAAAGCTCCGACATACAGGGCACATCTGAGGCGCTTGCCATTTTGTTTGCATGTTCTAGTGGCGCTGTCGAAGGGTTGAGTCGTCATACAATCAAACATTTCTCCGCCAAAGCATGAATCGACATTTACATCACAAGAACATGCAAAGACAAGGGTTTAGACACCTGGGGCAAGTTCTGGTGTTTGTTGCCTTTTAAACACCTTTCCCGTCACCAACGCGCAGTTAACATACAAACTTGATCAAAGGACCCAAAGATCGCAATGGTCTTCACAGGTTTGTGTCCTGCATTGCGCAATACGAAACAAGAACGCGAAGAGAAACAACATATGCCTGACGAACACTGAAGAGACTCTGGATGAGGGACGTTTTTTGGAGCAAAAACTGGGTAAACTGGGTAAACATGAATGTAGGCATCAGCACATCAGCTGTGGGCCAGATTTGACACTTGACAGAAACAAAAACCCGGGACACTGTTTGCAGAGCCAGCATTTCGACGAACAGCTACAGTCTACAGTACTCTATATAGATTGTAGATCGACAAAAACTAAAACCCAGACATGAGAGAAGTTGCAACCAACAATAGTCAAGGCCACAGATGAATATCTTGCGAAAACTGGAAGAGGTTGGCAAAAAGCACAATGTTGATGAACAGTTGATCATCAATTCGAACCAACACCAGGAAAACATCAGGAGAAACCAACCAGCGTGTCCATGATTTTACCACTAAGAACAAGACAAGCAAATCCAAGAAATTTTGTGCCTACAGGTATCGACGTATATAACGTGACAGACACAACTAAGGGAAGAAGGGAAGCGAGAACTAAACTCTTTTGCAACCTGCCCAAGACTTGCCTGAACCATCCTCGGGTGACCCAAAGGAGGAAAATGACAAGGCCGAGCCATATCAGCATGAGTTTTGAACTTGTGTTTTGGTGTCTGCCTAAGAATGACTGCTACAATCCGTAGTAAAATCCGAGCAAAAGTGCATCCGTAGTAAAATCCGACATATCAGACAGGCCAAATCTGCAACAGCAGAAGTAATTACATCTGAAGGTGGGACTGCAATAACCAAACTTCAGAGAAGCGTACGTAAAAAAATCGCGGAATACTGCGACAATAGGGAAGCACCATGCTTTCCTTCGCCACTTAAGGCAACATATGGTGAAGATATCCAATTTTGTTTCTGGCAGGTACCCGAGGAAAACAAGCGCGTATATCTTGTTGGGAGGCAGGGTCGTTCTAGTGGATGCGTTTTGGCTGTCAGGACGTGGACAGAAGATGGCATGCATTCTACTTCATTCTGCAATAAACATGACCAGATAGAGTACATCAAAAGTCATTTTGGTCAGGCACCGGTTATGATGATTTTGTCATATCATAATATAATACAATAATATTAAATATACGGTATTTGGCCTTAGGTATTTGATTCAGCAACTTCATGCGAGGACTTCCGGATACGATAAGGCTGAGATCCTCCTTGAGTCTCTTGGCCTTATAGAAAGCTGTATACGTAAAAAAAAATAGGGGAAGGCGCATGTCTTCTGTGATGCGCCAAACCTCTATCTTTCACATTTTAACTCTTGTCTGGCTGCCACGATCCAGGCAATGCAGCAGCGGTGCTGCAAGTGAAGGCCAAAGGGCCACCGACGTAGGGAGTTACGAGTTACACAACGTGATGAAGTGACAGATACAATTCGAACACATGTTTTAAAGAGTACAGTGGCGATTCCTGTTGGGGGGCTGGCCAATTGCACCACTAGTTTTTAAATGTGTTTCGAACAGCATACAGGTTGAAGATGGTATGAACACATGGGGTGGGTTGGGGTTGAGATGGAGTGGACAATCGACCAAGATGTGAAGCGTCAGAAACTACGGGCCATGTCTTGGCTTCTTGATCTTCTAATTTCTGGAGTCTTGAGTCGACATTAGTCAAATCTTTTCATTTTTGAGAGTTACAATGGCCTTGAGCTTCTCACAGGAGTTACAGAGGACCAGTTAAGACATGTTTAGAAGATGAACATAATTTAGTTAAAACTGTCTGAAATTTGACATGCACACCCTCTGAGAAAATGGCTCCTAAACTCGGCGAAAACTTCTGGAAGTTCCACCCTGATTAAACTTATTCTTTGAGGCCACGGTTTTGAGACAAAATAGTTTGCACCCTTGCTGTAGCTTCTGAAGCCAGCCAACTATCCCAGTTTGGTCGGCGAGCATGCAAAGTCTGTAACGTAGTCATTAGGCAAGATAGAGATGCAGATAGTCTAACGCATAAATTGTTTGAATGATGTCAGGATAAAAATGCAACCTCCTTGTTTTCTTCGTGAACACTTACTATATGGGTTTGTCGGAACATTTTCAATCTTGGGCCCACCCCGAAGTCCCATGGTTTATCATCATGTCCGCCAACAAGCTTGCCATTTGATGCCATTTCGGTGGATAGCCCACTTTCAGCTGAAGCTAGCATCCACTCGTATCAAGGTGTTCACATTTGGTTGCCTAAATTCAGCCAAGCGCTGCGGAGGTGTGGCCCTGATGAAACCTAGTGATTCCGAAGCCGACAAGGCCGGTCTCGGATCGACGGCTCATGAATCAGCAGGTCAGAATTCGGACATTATGAGAATCGTTTTCGTTTTTCTATTTTTTCTGCTGGATTTACTGTAGTTGTGCACCAAAGATCTGACTCATTTCTAAGGCCTTTGCATCTGGTGCCCCAAGGTTCGGTTGGGTAGATCTGCAGTTGTGAAGTTTCCAAAAGACCATTCCTCACTTTGCCATTAAAATGAAACTTGGAACTGTGCCCTTGAACCAAAAGAGTGTGATGGCCCCTTCGCTGAATGAGGAACCCAGCGCAACTTTCTGCTAGTTTCTGGCTTCCTGAGTGTCTTGGGCAGAACAGCCGGCTTGCTGATTTCAATTTGAATCGCAAATCACAAATCCAAGTTGAGCGACTCTGATCTGGGTAAAGGCTTTGCTCAGCCCTAAGGTTGAGAAACCAAATATCATCCTATCTTGATGTGCCGGCACTGTGCGCTCAGCGAGCCACAGCTCGTGAGAACTACTCACCGAAGGCCTGCGCTGCGAGCGCTGCTGCGCTTTGTTGAGATTCGTTTTTGCGCATTGGTTTTTTTGGTGGCCCAGGCTTTTGTTGCTCACCTTGTGCAGCTTGTCCGACCTGAAACGCCAATCCCTCAGATGGCAGACTGTGAAAGTGTAGCGTGGCAGGGAAGACCGCACTTGAAAATGCAAATCGGTTGCCAGGCCTGATGCAATCGTGGCAGCTGCAGATATTATTCACAACGAAGAGGAGCTTCCATCGCGGGAGTGCGCGCAAGTGTTTGCTCGGGACCGCTTTCAACTCTTCGCGCGGTTTCGAGGCGCAACTATGTTAGAAACAGATCACTAGCATTCACTTGTGTTCTTCTGGAACATGGTTTGAAGAGTGTTTGAAGAGTGTAAAGAACATTCTTCAGTTGAAGCCAACACATGAGACAGGCAAAAATCAGCTAGTTCATGTTGAGGGTATTGAATGCCGAGTGTGACCAACTGATGGTCATGGCACGGATGAGTTGGAGCCCTGAGGTGTCATGTGCATCTTCGACGCCGGCGCACCGGCTTTTCGACTATGGTGGGCGAGCAACCCTGGAGCAATCACCCACTTGTTGACCTGCTGGATAGAACACAACGATTCATTGGACCCAAGGGGGCAAACGATAGTTCTCGGAGCTTCGCTGAATGTCTTCGACGATTTGGACTGGGGTGCATTGCATCTCAAGCAAATGTTTGCTGCAGAAATCATTCGATTGGAAACTGAGAGCCACCACCTGAGTGTGCAAGAAAATGTGTCCACAATTTTGCATCGGTTCCCGGAGATCCGATCATTGGCCTGCGCAGCAAGTGCCCCAGACACACGTGCTGGCGCGCTACGCAAACCTCCTCCCATTTGGACTTAAAGCTGCCCCAGAAGCCCTCTTCGAAAGGATCTTGCAGCTGAGTGTGACTCAGTGACCTGGGCCATGAAAAGTTCCGCAAACCCTCACTTGACGGTGTTTTCCTTCTGTTTTTTGAGTTGACCTTTCGTGGAGATCAACAACCGGTCAGGCTAGTCTGGCCTCCTGTAGGCAATAACTGTGGTGGGCCAGCAACCGTGGAGCAATCGCCCACTTGCTGGATAGAATTTTGGATAGAACATACTTCATTGTCCCCGCTTTTGCATTGGGCCTAAAAACCGGAATTGCATGTCTGTGAGACGCTGGACCGGGGGGCGCTGCGTGTCCAGCAAATGTCTGCTGCAGAAGTCATACAATCGAGATAACTGAGAGCTGCATCCAGTATGTGCAACGGGCTGTGCCCAACCTTTTGAGCAAGTTCCAAGAGATCCGAAAACTTTGACAGCAATCCATCCAGGATTCCCTTTTGATTTGGAAGCTTCTTGCGTTGAAACCGTTTGAAACCCAGATATGATATGGGCTGGCATTTCTTCGCCAAGCTGCTTATATGAGTGCAAAGGGCTGTTCCAGAGATCTGAGAGCTTCGCCCCATTGTGTCTTATTTTTGCGCATTGAATGCATCATGTGTGGGACTTGATGATGGTCGTGGTGGTACTAACTGCGTTGATCTTGGAACCCTGAGGCAGCAAATGCCTGTCCGAAACACTACTATGAACTTATGGTGGGCTAGCAACCCTGGAGCAATGGCCAATTTTTTGGCCTGCTGGATACAACATAGTTCATTGTCCCGGCTTGCGGAAGTTCTAATGCCCTCAATTGCAAAGGGTGTCTTCGAGAATCTGGATGCCGAGCGTGGCAAACAGACGTTTGCTTCAGAAGTCGTGCGATTGGAGTCTGAGAGCCGTGTGAAGTTTGTACAAGAAGTCGATCCCCTTAAAAATTGAGGACCTCAGGTAAAGCTTCCAATGAGATCCAATGAGGGGTTTATGTAAGCTTTTCGGGCACGCCCCAAGTTTGTGTTGGGCCCCCTAGACCAGAGCAACATTGGTGACAACAGCTGACGGCTTGCACTTGCAAAACATAAGAATCATTATAAGAGGCAATATTTCTCCGTTCAATACCTGAGAAAAAATATGTCGGTGTTTTGATCTTTGAGAGCACCAGATTCCTTGAACAAGCTGTTACAGCTACCAAGCAAGGCCATGGAGAACTTTCACATACTGTAACATTTGACTTCTTCCATTTTGCCACTCAAATCACTTGAAGCAAAACAGCAAAACTAGAACCTCCTCATAGCGCCTGTGTTTTCATCTCTATAGAAGTAAGCCACCGTAGCCAGCAAAACATGGAAAATCACCGCCTTGTGAAAGCTGCATTTATCATAATCATAACCAATTGGTCTTACATGGTCTCTGCTAGACCATTCAAACTCTCACACAGCAACTGCACCTTGGAGAACTGCTGGGATTTCTTGCCTTTGAACCCAATGGAAGCCCGGTGTGGACCCCAATGGCCCGAGGCGCCTGAGCCTCAAAAAATAACTCCAGCTCAGTTCAGTTTGTAACTTGGAAATCAAATGAAATCAACACGTTGTGTGGATATCCTGAGGTCAGAACGCTTTTGGAATTGGAACGTTTTGGCGCCTGGCGCCAAGTCGTAGTTTCTGAATCTTGGGTCGAGTAATTTCCAATTCAAAGAAACCCTGGATTCTGGATCTACAAAGGTTTTCTCCGGGGCAGGCATTGCCGTTCACTAGTGGAGGCAGGCGCTGTTCGGGGTCGTTTCTTGCAGTCACAAGAGAGAACATGGAAAACTCGGAAAACTCTTTTGATTTACTTCCAGGCGTTGCAGAGGAAACATCACAATGATTTGATTCTCCCCACCAAGTCTCCATCTCTCCATTCCCCTCGCCCTCTCCCTAACCCGCGAAGGACACCTGCAGTCAAGCCCAACGGCCACCTGGTGCGTGCCCGAATGGGCCCAAAAGCCTGGGGCTCAAGAAAGTTGTGCTCCAGTTCCATTTGTGCAGACCTGGTATTTGTAAGTTGAATGAATCTCCTGAGGTCAGAACCTGTTTGGAACGTTTCGGCGCCTGACACCCAGTCGTAGTTTCTGAAGCATTGCTCGAGTAATTTCCAATTCAAAGAAACCCTGGATCTGCAAAGGTTTGCTCTGGGGGAGGCATGGCCTTTCATTAGTGGAGGCAGGCACTGTTCGAGCTCGCAGCCACAAGAAAGAACATGGAAAGCACGGAAAACTCGTTTGCTTGACGCAAGAACTTACTGCGACTCATGGCACAAAACGTTGCAGCGATTTTCTTTGAGCCAGTTTTCCGCTCGTATGGTGGTGAAGGACCAGTTGAAGCACTTCGACTGTCAAATGAAGAGCTGAAACGTCAGTTGGCACCCCAGGGCGGAAGGACACAAGCAATATTCTCCATGTTTGTTTTGTCCAAAAACACCCACCAAAATGGTCCAAATAAATTCCTCTTGTGGGCTTTTCGGTCTTTTGAATATCTACTCGTGTCGGTTTGGATTTGGGGGTCACCCTGTTGCTGTGCAGCGAGGTGCGAAAACTTGGCTCACGACCTGCGAAATATGTGGGTCAGAAACCAGGCACTGCCAGAAATTCGAAATGAAATCCGTAAGAGTAAAACCTGGACCAACACAAAAAGTTCCATGGTTCAAGACGCCCAAAAGTGCGATGCCATGCGTTGAACATGTTGAACTACTTGTTGACCCTTTAGCAAGGTCATCCGATCGGTGAATAGAGGTTGTGATATGTTGTGATATGGATTATGAGAACGAACATGATGGCGACCATGGCTTAAATGAAGGCTCCAACTCCTTCCAAGATTCGTTCGCCGGTTTTATGTATGCAGATCCTGACAGGAACTGGAGGAGGCGCTCTCCTCTCACAAGGCCCCTGAGATGTCTTGAGTTGGATTGGGAAGTCTGACAGTTGACTATAGCTTGTACTTTGACATTGGTTGATCCCAACAATTGTACTTTGACAAGGTTCATCCCCAAAAACCCATCAGGAAATGAACATTTGATATTCCTGGCGCGGTTTTGCTTCGTGCGAACTTGTTGATATCAACCAGATTCAGCATGTGAGACGGGTACATTCGAATGCAGAACTTGGTGCAAGGCCCAGCAACAAGAATTGAGGGCCAGCACTCCCCTGAGTTGCAGATGCGGCCTAGTGCGGTGTTTCACTTGTACATGAACGATTCCGTAGACTTGACTGTATTTTGTATTTTCATGTACTTTCACAATAATATCTCAATAAATTTGATTATAAAAGATGATTCACATACTTGAAGTGCGGATTTTCCAGCCTGCCGAGTACCAAAGAGCACTTCCCAGCTCTCAAGGCCAAGATCGAATCAAATATTTGGAAGAGCAACTGCAAGCTGCACAGGCGTCTCGGAGAGAGAAAGCACATGAAAACACGATCCACATATCACCATACATGGTTCAAGCTGAGTGCGACGCCGCAAAATGCATCGTTGTCAGTAAAACAGATTAAATTCCGGGGCCTGTTACGTGGTTCCCTACGACGGGCTGGTGAACACAGGGGCATATATCGCTCGCAAGTGAATATTTGATATGTTTGGCAGTATTTTACACCCTGCAAACTTTACTATTTCAGTATGCAAGGTGGATGGATACATCCCAAAACAAACTTGGCACAAGGCCTAGAAACAAAAACTGGGAATCAACGTTCCTGAGCCACTAGAAGACCATTTTCAGGTTTTGCTACTGTGGCAGGTTGACGAGGAGACGGAGCCAGACAGCACAGACGTTCCTACTGATGATTCCTCTGGTGATGAGGCTCCATGGATATTGATGAACAAGTGTGACATCAGATCTTTTTTCCGCCAAATCACAAGGGTGACACCGCAGCGTTTTTTTGCTATAGCAAAGACTAGCCAAGTGATGAGGCCATTTGTCTCGCATCATAGTGCAACTTGTTGATGCATTGTAGGCTACTGAGTCGGAAAGCTCCGACACACACGGCACGTCTGAGGCGCTTGCCATTTTATTTGGGCAGTCGAAGGGCTGAACGATCGTAGAATCAAACCTTTCTCCATCAAAGCATGAATTGACAGTTGCATCGCCAAGACATGCAGTTATCTACTGTAATACACATAACTCACATTAACAAGTTACTCTTGTATGCTTTGCAGTGTTTGGAACACCTTTCCGACCTTCCGGTCACGAACGCACGGCTGGCATACGAACATGAATACAACCCTAAAGATTGCAAGGGTCTGCACAGGTGTTTCCAAATTTGCTAGGCACTGGTGAAGCTCCTTGAGGCCTCTTTCTCGACTTGTCGAATTCATGCCAAATCCCCTGCATTACATAATTTTATTCTGTTTTCACGTGGTTCAGGTCTTCATACTCAGTTGCCGGAACGGCGTTGCGAAATCAAAGGACCTAGAGGCCAGGAAACAACTTAAAGGTCGCCATGTCACGGCAAAGTATTTTGACGGGAACACTTGCAACTAGAGGCCTCAATTTGCAATTGTACATGATTGTGGCAGGCTGTGTTTGATGCACCAGAAGCCCTGCATGAGGAGAAAGAACGCAGACATTCAATGTTCTTATAGGGATCTCGGCTTGAATCATGTTCGGCTTTGTGATGCATCCCAGGACCCTTCAGCATTCTCAGATCACGTTTCACCTTGTGGTGCCGAGAGCCAAAGGATTGAACAGAGGCTGTTGAATGGCGGCTTATGTACTTTGAAGCGCACCGTTAAAGATCAAACTGTTTGTTTTGTGAAAGCATTTGAAGTTTTAATGATGATTTGGAGTAGCGATGCGCATGATGCACTGTGCCCAAGGGTATGTTATTGTCACGGAGGCAAACTGACTCGTCGACAGCCTCAAAAGCTGCTGCCATACGGCTGACCCCGGCATTGCCTGAGGACTGCTGCACTAACCCTTGTCCAAAGGAAGTGGTACAAATCGGTACCAATGATTTATTTACTGCAAGCTAACTATCCTAGACTACTATCGTGGATATATTAAGAGGACATTGAACATGCAAACAAATCAAACAAATGCCACGTGTGCATCTCTCATGTTTGCGTTGTTCCGGAGAGATTTGTGCATATGAGAGACAGGATGTGACAGGTAAAGGACGGTGAATTTTCAGACAGACATGGGACTTGGACTGTGTCCCCAGACGCAAGGTGATACAACCATATATAGGAAAAATAATGAAAAAAGGGTATGCGCAGTTAATATGCAAGCTTGATCAAAGGACCCAAAGATCGCAATGGTCAATGGTCTTCACAGGTTTGTGTCATGCATTGCGCAGTACGAAACAAGAGTGTGAAGAAAAAATGCGTGACGAAGTCAGCACGAAGGTTGCAATAGCAAAAATCACCACTTCTTGCAAAACCTCACCAGAAAATGTACAATCGCAAAAGGTAGCAAAAGTGGTAGGCAAAGCGCGTGTCTTTCAACATCACATGCCAGTTACGGAAAGCAGGACAAAACCTGCCGTGTTGAAGAACAGTTGCCCATCGCTAGCAAGCCCAAACCTGAATGAAGTGTTGGCAAAACACTAAGCATGTGGACGATCAGCATCGAACAAACATCAGGAAAGTATAGGCACCTTCCAGCATTACTTTGTTTTTTACCAGCAACAACAAGCAAATCGAGGAACATTTGCCACCAGACGCAAGGTGATACAACTATATAGGGAAAAAAGGGTACGCAAAACACTTTTGTATGACCTGTTCAGGACTTGCCGGAACCACCCTTGGCTCCCCTCGAAGACGCACATGACAAGGAAGAGGAAGATGACAAGGCCGAGCGACAGCAACATGATTTTTGAGGTTGATATTTTGTTTGGACTTGCATTTGTGGATGTGTCGAAGAGAAAGGCCCTGGCCTAGGATTGGGTGATATCAAGTGATATCAATTCCTAAACTTCCTAAACCTTCCCCAAGTCATCAGAATGCCACTTCCTGATGTGGCAGGTTGATGAGAAGGAGACGTCGAAACAGCAAAGGCGGCTTGGCAGTTCGCAATCCTGTCCCAGCCAAGTGCAGTTGTCATACTGGACAACTTCGCTATTTTTTGCCGCCAGGCTTTCTATTGGTTCGCAAGACTCAGACAGATCGGACAGCACGAAGATTCCTAGTGACGATGGTTCGTTTGGCGATGAGGCTCCACGGGTGACGATGAACAAGTGCAACATCAAAGTCTTGTTAGTCTTGTCATCTCTTTTTTTTCGGACAGTCAAGAGGTAAACCTGTCTGTCGCAGCTTTTTTCCCCTGCTGCAACAAAGACTAGCCAAGTGAATGAGGTCATTTGTTTTGCATCATAGTAGTTTTTTTTCCATTGCAACTTGTTGATGCATTGACGTAGGCGACTGCGACGGAAAGCTCACAGCGCACATTGGAGGCGCCTGCCATTGTGTTTGCATGTCCTAGCCTGGCGTGGTCGAACAGAGTGAACTGTCACGCAATCAAATCAATTGGTGCATACTCTGCTTTTTGTTGCCGTTCAAACACCTTTCCAGTCACGCATGCGCAGTTAATATGCAAGCTTGATCAAAGGACCCAAAGATCGCAATGGTCAATGGTCTTCACAGGTTTGTGTCATGTATTGCGCAGTACGAAACAAGAGTGTGAAGAAAAAATGCGTGACGAAGCCAGCACGCAGGTTGCAATCGCAAAAATCACCACTTCTTGCAAAACCTCACCAGAAAATGTACAATCGCAAAAGGTAGCAAAAGTGATAGGTAAAGCGCGTGTCTTTCAACATCACATGCCAGTTGCGGAAAGCAGGACAAAACCTGCCGTGTTGAAGAACAGTTGCCCATCGCTAGCAAGCCCAAACCTGAATGAAGTGTTGGCAAAACACTAAGCATGTGGACGATCAGCATCGAACAAACATCAGGAAAGTATAGGCACCTTCCAGCATATTGTTTTTTTTAATGATTTTTTACCATTAAGAACAAGCAAAACGAGGAACATTTGCCACCAGACGCAAGGTGATACAACTATATAGGGAAAAAGGGTACGCGAAACACTTTTGTATGACCTATTCAGGACTTGCCGGAACCACCCTTGGCTCCCCTCGAAGAGGAAGATGACAAGGAAGAGGAAGATGACAAGGCCGAGCGACAGCAACATGATTTTTGAGTTGATATTTTGTTTGGACTTGCATTTGTGGATGTGTCGAAGAGAAAGGCCCTGGCCTGGGATTGGGTGATATCAATTCCTAAACTTCCTAAACCTTCCCCAAGTCATCAGAACGCTACTTCCTGATGTGGCAGGTTGATGAGAAGGAGACGTCGAAACAGCAAAGGCGGCTTGGCAGTTCGCAATCCTGTCCCAGCCAAGTGCAGTTGTCATACTGGACAACTTCGCTATTTTTTGCCGCCAGGCTTTCTATTGGTTCGCAAGACTCAGACAGATCGGACAGCACGAAGATTCCTAGTGACGATGGTTCGTTTGGCGATGAGGCTCCACGGGTGACGATGAACAAGTGCAACATCAAAGTCTTGTTAGTCTTGTCATCTCTTTTTTTTCGGACAGTCAAGAGGTAAACCTGTCTGTCGCAGCTTTTTTTTCCCTGCTGCAACAAAGACTAGCCAAGTGATGAGGTCATTTGTTTTGCATCATAGTAGGATTTTTTGACAGGCACCTTTCAAATTCCATTGCAACTTGTTGATGCATTTGACGTAGGCGACTGCGACGGAAAGCTCCGACATACAGGGCACATCTGAGGCGCTTGCCATTTTGTTTGCATGTTCTAGTGGCGCTGTCGAAGGGTTGAGTCGTCATACAATCAAACATTTCTCCGCCAAAGCATGAATCGACATTTACATCACAAAAACATGCGAAGACAAGGGTTTAGACACCTGGGGCAAGTTCTGGTTTTTGTTGTCTTTTAAACACCTTTCCCGTCACCAACGCACAGTTAACATACAAACTTGATCAAAGGACCCAAAGATCGCAATGGTCTTCACAGGTTTGTGTCATGCATTGCGCAATACGAAACAAGAACGCGAAGAGAAACAACATATGCCTGACGAACACCGAAGAGACTCTGGATGAGGGACGTTTTTTGGAGCAAAAACTGGGTAAACATGAATGTAGACATCAGCACATCAGCTGTGGGCCAGATTTGACACTTGACAGAAACAAAAACCCGGGACACTGTTTGCAGAGCCAGCATTTCGACGAACAGCTACAGTCTACAGTACTGTATATAGATTGTAGATCGACAAAAACTAAAACCCAGACATGAGAGAAGTTGCAACCAACAATAGTGAAGGGTCAGTACCTCGCTTAAGCCTACGTTTTTACTCGCTTACGCCTACGTTTGTGAAATATGATGGCAGCACCAATAGAAAGTGACATAGAAGCCTTTGAATATGACTGCAACAGGTGTGACAGAGATGATGAGCAGGACACTTTGATTCGATCATATGAATTGCATGTCACTTTTCAGAAGATGTTGCAACGTATCAGGAATATGTCGCAATGTATCAGGAACATGTTTGAACTCACTTGAAGAAGTTGCTTCAACGTATCAGTACCGTCTGGCAAGTTACTGTAAGACTAGGTGACACATGTATCAGGAAGGTCGTGCAATTTACTTACAAGTAGGAAGATAGATGTTGCAACGTATCAGCAATGTATTGCAAGCTACTTGACGAAGATGTTGCAAAATAGCAAGAACATCATTCAAGGGACTTGAAGAAGATGTGACAACGTCATGCGTGGAACATGTCGGAAGTGTCGCGCAGAAGATGTCGCAATGTATCAGGAACGTGTTTCAAGTCATTTGAAGAAGATGCTACAACGTATCAGGAACATCTGGCAAGTTACTGTAAGACGAGGTGACAAGTATCAGGAAGGTCGTGCAATTTACTTACAAGTAGGAAGATGTTGCAACGTATCAGGAATGTATTGCAAGCTACTTGACGAAGATGTTGCAAAATACCAGGAACATCATTCAAGGGACTTGAAGAAGATGTGACAACGTCATGCATGGAACATGTCGGAAGTGTCGCGCAGAAGATGTCACAATGCATCAGGAACATGTTTGCAAGTCACTTGAAGAAGATGCTACAACGTATCAGGAACATCTGGCAAGTTACTGTAAGACGAGGTGACACATGTATCAGGAAGGTCGTGCAATTTACTTACAAGTAGGAAGATAGATGTTGCAACGTATCAGCAATGTATTGCAAGTTACTTGACGAAGATGTTGCAAAATAGCAAGAACATCATTCAAGGGACTTGAAGAAGATGTGACAACGTCATGCATGGAACATGTCGGAAGGGCCGCGCAGAAGATGTCACAATGTAGCAGGAACGTGCTGCAAGTCACTCGAAGAAGATGCTACAACGTATCAGGAACATCTGGCAAGTTACTGTAAGACGAGGTGACACATGTATCAGGAAGGTCGTGCAATTTACTTACAAGTAGGAAGATGTTGCAACGTATCAGGAATGTATTGCAAGCTACTTGACGAAGATGTTGCAAAATAGCAAGAACATCATTCAAGGGACTTGAAGAAGATGTGACAACGTCATGCATGGAACATGGCGGAAGGGCCGCGCAGAAGATGTCACAATGCATCAGGAACGTGTTGCAAGTCACTCGAAGAGGATGCTACAACGTATCAGGAACATCTGGCAAGTTACTGCAAGACGAGGTGACACATGTATCAGGAAGGTCGTGCAATTTACTTACAAGTAGGAAGATGTTGCAACGTACCAGGAATGTATTGCAAGCTACTTGACGAAGATGTTGCAAAATAGCAAATGTCCCCAAGTGTCCCCTAAACCCACCCCAAGTGTCCCCAAGTGTCCCCTAAGCGTCCGCAAGTGTTAAGCTAAAGGGCTGTATCCCTTGGAGTTGGTTCCCTAGGCCTACCCCAAGTGTCCCCAAGTGTTAACCTAAAGGGTTGTATCCCTTGGAGTTGGTTCCCTAAGCCCACCCCAAGTGTCCCCAAGTGTCCCCTAAACCCACCCCAAGTGTCCCCAACTGTCCCCAAGTGTTAACCTAAAGGGCTGTATCCCTTGAATTTGGTTCCCTAAGCCCACCCCAAGTGTCCCCAAGTGTCCCCTACTCCCACCCCAAGTGTCCCCAAGTGTCCCCTAAACCCACCCCAAGTGTCCCCAAGTGTTAACCTAAAGGTCTGTACCCCATGGAGTTAACTCTGAAGTCAACATACAAAATGTCGGCTTATAATGAGTAAAAAAGTCGGCTTAAATGAGTCTCGGACCATAGTGAAGGCCACAGATGAATATCTTGCGAAAACTGGAAGAGGTTGGCAAAAAGCACGATGTTGATGAACAGTTGATCATCAATTCGAACCAACACCAGGAAAACATCAGGAGAAACCAGCCAGCGTGTCCATGATTTTACCACTAAGAACAAGACAAGCAAATCCAAGAAATTTTGTGCCTACAGGTATCGACGTATCTAACGTGACAGACACAACTAAGGGAAGAAGGGAAGCGAGAACTAAACTCTTTTGCAACCTGCCCAAGACTTGCCTGAACCATCCTCAGTGACCCAAAGGAGGAAAATGACAAGGCGGAGCCATGTCAGCATGAGTTTTGAACTTGTGTTTTGGTGTCTGCCTAAGAATGACTGCTACAATCCGTAGTAAAATCCGAGCAAAAGTGCATCCGTAGTAAAATCCGACATATCAGACAGGCCAAATCTGCAACAGCAGAAGTAATTACATCTGAAGGTGGGACTGCAATAACCAAGCTTCAGAGAAGCGTACGTAAAAAAAATCGCGGAATACTGCGACAATAGGGAAGCACCATGCTTTCCTTCGCCACTTAAGGCAACATATGGTGAAGATATCCAATTTTGTTTCTGGCAGGTACTCGAGGAAAACAAGCGCATATATCTTGGGAGGCAGGGTCGTTCAAGTGGATGCATTTTGGCTGTCAGGACGTGGACAGAAGATGGCATGCATTCTACTTCATTCTGCAATAAAAATGACCAGATAGAGTACATCAAAAGTCATTTTGGTCAGTCACCGGTTATGATGATTTTGTCATATCATCATAATATAATACAATAATATTAAATATACGGTATTTGGCCTTAGGTATTTGATTCAGCAACTTCATGCGAGGACTTCCGGATACGATAAGGCTGAGATCCTCCTTGAGTCTCCTGGCCTTATAGAAAGCTGTACGTAAAAAAAATAGGGGAAGGCACATGTCTTCTGTGATGCGCCAAACCTCTATCTTTCACATTTTAACTCTTGTCTGACTGCCACGGTCCAGGCAATGCAGCAGCGGTACTGCAAGTGAAGGCCAAAGGGCCACCGACGTAGGGAGTTACGAGTTACACAACGTGATGAAGTGACAGATACAATTAGAACACATGTTTTAAAGAGTACAGTGGCGATTCCTGTTGGGGGGCTGGCCAATTGCACCACTAGTTTTAAATTGTGTTTCGAACAGCATACAGGTTGAAGATGGTATGAACACATGGGGTGGGTTGGGGTTGAGATGGAGTGGACAATCGACCAAGATGTGAAGCGTCAGAAACTACGGGCCATGTCTTGGCTTCTTGATCTTCTAATTTCTGGAGTCTTGAGTCGACATTAGTCAAATCTTTTCATTTTTGAGAGTTACAATGGCCTTGAGCTTCTCACAGGAGTTACAGAGGACCAGTCAAGACATGTTTAGAAGATGAACATAATTTAGTTAAAACTGTATGAGATTTGACATGCACACCCTCGGAGAAAATGGCTCCTAAACTCGGCGAAAACTTCTGGAAGTTCCACCCTGATTAAACTGATTCTTTGAGGCCACGGTTTTGAGACAAAATAGTTTGCACCCTTGCTGTAGCTTCTGAAGCCAGCCAACTATCCCAGTTTTGTCGGCGAGCATGCAAAGTCTGTAATGTAGTAATTAGGCAAGATAGAGATGCAGATAGTCTAACGCTTGAATTGTTTGAATCATGTCAGGATCAAAATGCAACCTCCTTGTTTTCTTCGTAAACACTTACTATATGGGTTTGTCGGAACATTTTCAATCTTGCGCCCACCCCGAAGTCCCATGGTTTATCATCATGTCCGCCAACAAGCTTGCCATTTGATGCCATTTCGGTGGATAGCCCACTTTCAGCTGAAGCTAGCATCCACTTGTATCAAGGTGTTCACATTTGGTTGCCTAAATTGAGCCAAGCACTGCGGAGGTGTGGCCCTGATGAAACCTAGTGATTCCGAAGCCGACAAGGTCGGTCTCAGGGATCAACGGCTCATGAATCAGCAGGTCAGAATTCGGACATTATGAGAATCGTTTTCGTTTTTCTATTTTTTCTGCTGGATTTACTGTAGTTGTGCACCAAAGATCTGACTCATTTCCAAGGCCCTTGCATCTGGTGCCCCAAGGTTCGGTTGGGAAGATCTGCAGTTGTGAAGTTTCCCAAAGACCATTCCTCACTTTGCCATTAAAATGAAACTTGGAACTGTGCCCTTGAACCAAAAGAGTGTGATGGCCCCTTCGCTGAATGAGGAAGCCAGCGCAACTTTCTGCTAGTTTCTGGCTTCCTGAGTGTCTTGGGCAGAACAGCCGGCTTGCTGATTTCAATTTGAATCGCAAATCACAAATCCAAGTTGAGCGACTCGATCTGGGTAAAGGCTTTGCTCAGCCCTAAGGTTGAGAAACCAAATATCATCCTATCTTGATGTGCCGGCACTGTGCGCTCAGCGAGCCACAGCTCGTGAGAACTACTCACCGAAGGCCTGCGCTGCCAGCGCTGCTGCGCTTTGTTGAGAATCGTTTTTGCGCATTGTTTTTTTTTGGTGGCCCAGGCTTTTGTTGCTCACCTTGTGCAGCTTGTCCGACCTGAAACGCCAATCCCTCAGATGGCAGACTGTGAAAGTGTAGCGTGGCAGGGAAGACCGCACTTGAAAATGCAAATCGGTTGCCAGGCTTGATGTAATCGTGGCATGTGCAGATATCATTCACAACAACGAGCCAGAGAAGATTCGATCGCGGGAGTGCTTGCAAGCGTTTGCTCGGGAACGCTTTCAACTCTTCGCGCGGTTTCGAGGCGCAACTATGTTAGAAACAGATCACTAGCATTCACTTGTGTTCTTCTGGAATATGGTTTGAAGAGTGTAAAGAACATTCTTCAGTTGAAGCCAACACATGAGACATGCAAAATTCAGCTAGTTCATGTTGAGGGTATTGAATGCCGAGTATGACCAACTGATGGTCATGGCACGGATGAATGTTGGAGCCCTGAGGTGCCATGTGCATCTTCGACGCCGGCGCACCGGCTTTTCGACTATGGTGGGCGAGCAACCCTGGAGCAATCACCCACTTGTTGACCTGCTGGATAGAACACAACAATTCATTGGACCCAAGGGGGCAAGCGATAGTTCTCGGAGCTTCGCTGAATGTCTTCAACGATTTGGACTGGGGTGCATTGCGTCTCAAGCAAATGTTTGCTGCAGAAATCATTCGATTGGAAACTGAGAGCCACCACCCGGGTGTGCAAAAACACGTGGCTAAAATTTTGCATCGGTTCCCGGAGATCCGATCATTGGCCTGCGCAGCAAGTGCCCCAGACAAAGGTGCTGGCGCGCTACGCAAGCCTCCTCCCATTTGGACTTAAAGCTGCCCCAGAATTGCGCCACGAAAAAGTTCCGGAAACTCTCACTTGACTCGACAGTGTTTTTCTCTTTTTAGCAGCGCTCTTTCTACTGTAATTCTAAATGATGCCATTTTGGCTCAAAGTATATATTCAAAAAGCCCCGAAGTTTGCACAATTTATAATAAATGCCGTTTTGCGATGATGATCGACGTTTTGATTCTTATGAGGCCGGTGCGGTGCGGCTGCTTCAAATTGGAGCTTCCTGGGCCGGGAAAAACACTTGCATTGTGAACCCAAAAGAACATCTCAGCCACACTGTTGACCTGGAGCTTCGTTACTGTCAAAAGTTACGTTGTGGACATTGGTGTCTGATTCGGTATAGCCATACCAGAATGTTTGGGGTGTCCACTGGTTCGGTATAGTCATAGTCATAAATGTTCAAGCAGCTGGATATTTGACGTCATTGATTTAAGTGTGAATGGTTGCATATCCGTTTGCGGAACTCCGACAGAAAGTTGCTGCCTTGCCTTGCTAACACGAACCTAGACCAAGTCCATCACCCTATGACAGAGTCCATACACCCTGAGTCAGTCACCCTGCTACCATTGAATCAAGATCCATCACAACGTTGGCTATAACATGCTACAAGTGTCCAAGAATCTACCTAGGAAACGTTGGCTATAACTGTCCAGGAATCTACCTGGGTGTAACTTTGGCTATAACTAGGCCAGCGTAGACGGTGTCAGGGAACACACGACCGTGTCAGGGAACGTGAGTCAGAGAACAGGAACGTCGAAGTCAGCGAAAAAAAAGTCGAAGTCAGGGAAAAGTACGTCGAAGTCAGGGAAAATATGCGTACAGTGCACAAAGTAAGGTGCGCAACGTGCGTGAAGCGCGCAAAGTGCATCAAAAAGTGCGTAAAAAGTGCGTAAAAAGTGCGTAAAGTGCGCAAAGTGCGTAAACTGGATAAAGTGCGCAAAGTGCGTAAACTGGGCACAGTGCGGAAAGTGCGCAAACTGGGTATACAGTGCGCAAAGTGCATACAAGGTGCGTAAAAAGTGCGTAAAGAGTGCACGCCAAGTCAAAGTGCGCGTACAAAGTGCGTTGAAAGTGCGTAAAAAGTGCGTAAAGTGTGCGCCAAGTCAAAGTGTGTAAAGTGCGCATATACTACGTAAATTCGATAAAGTGCGCAAAGTGCGTAAACTGGGCACAGTGCCGAAAGTGCGTAAAAGGTGCGTAAAAAGTGCGTCAAAAGAACGTAAAGAGTGCGCGCCAAGTCAAAGTGCGCAAAGTGCGTAAAGTGCGCAAAGTGTGTACAAAGTGCGTTGAAAGTGCGTATAAAAAGATATAAAAAGTGCGTAAAAAGTACGAAAGTGTGCGCGAAGTCAAAGTGCGTAAAGTGCGCAAAGTGCGTAAACTGGATAAAGTGCGCAAAGTGTGTAAAGTGCGCAAAGTGCGCGCAAAGTGCGTGAAGTGCGTAAAATGCGCAATCTGCGTAGAAGTGCGCAATCTGCGTAGAAGTGCGCAAAGTGCGTAAAAAGTGCATAAAATGTGCGTAAAAAGCGCGAAACGCGCGCCAAGTCAAAGTGCGTAAAGCGCGCAAATTGCGTAAACTGGGTAAAGTGCGCAAAGTGCGTAAAAAGTGCGCGCAAAGTGCGCAAAGTGCGTAGTGTGCGCAAAGTGCGCGCAAAGTGCGTGAAGTGCGTAAAGTGTTTAAATTTCCCCCCAAAGCCCAACATGCAATAAATTTCTCCATTCGCAGCTTTCTCTTCCGAAGAGTTCTTGTGACGATTCCAATTCATTGTTTAAATTTCCCCCCCAAAGCCCAACATGCAATAAATTTCTCATTCACAGCCTTCTCTTCCCAAGAGTTCTTGTCACGACTCCAATTCATTGTTGAAATTCTCCTCCCAAGCCCAACACGCAATAGTAATTCTCGATTCACAGCTTTCTCTTCCGAGGAGTTCTTGTCACGATTCCGATTCATTGTTTAAATTTCCCCCCGAAAGCCCAACATGGAATAAATTTCTCCATTCGCAGCTTTCTCTTCCCAAGCGTTCTTGTCACGATTCCGATTCATTGTTTAAATTTCCCCCCGAAAGCCCAACATGGAATAAATTTCGCCATTCACAGCCTTCTCTTCCGAAGAATTCTTGTGACGATTCCAATTCATTGTTTAAATTTCCCCCCGAAAGCCCAACATGCAATAAATTTCTCCATTCACAGCCTTCTCTTCCCAAGAGTTCTTGTCACGACTCCAATTCATTCTGTAAATTCCACCCCCTAAGCCCAACATGCAATAGTAATAGTATTTAATTCTCGATTCACAGCTTTCTCTTCCGAAGAGTTCTTGTCACGATTGTTTAAATTTTCCCCCAAAGCCCACCATGCAATCATTTTCTCCATTCACAGCCTTCTCTTCCCAAGAGTTCTTGTCACGATTCCAATTGATTGTTAAAATTTCCACCCCAAGCCCAACATGCAATACTGTTTCTCGATTCACAGCTTTCTCTTCCGAAGAGTTCTTGTCACGATTCCAATTCATTGTTTAAATTTTCCCCCCAAGCCCAACATGCAATAGCATTTCTCCATTCACAGCCTTCTCTTCCCAAGAATTCTTGTCACGATTCCAATTCATCACGAAAGCCAGTCGCTAGGCTAGGCGAAGTTTTTTTTGCGAACAAAGTGAGTTTAGGGGGTTTGGGGGCAGAGCGTTCCTAACGGCCACTAAATCACGAAATTAGGTGGTAAAAAAGGCGGACGCAGGTGAACTTTTTCAGGGTTATGTACCAGGTGGCAATTGGGTGACGGTGGGGTATCGATTCCCCCCTGGTCCGTCCTCCGTTCTGGACTTGGGGAGACTGCAATGGAGGGGCAAATGATGAGAAAAACAATGGAAAAAATGAGGGAATATCACGTAAAACAATGGGAAAACAATGGAAAAATTGAGGTAGAACACTTCGAAAATGATGCCAAGTAAAATAAAAGTAAGAGGATGGAAATTGATGGGATGGAAAAACAATGGAAAAATTGAGGCTCCGATGTGGGACCATTATCGCGTAAAGCACGCGTGAAACAATGGAAAAGCAATGGAAAATTGCGGTTTCGATGTATGACCGCTATGGAGTAGAAGCACGGAAATAAAACCATGGAAGAAACGAACAAAACCATTTATACGGTGCAACGGTAGGGATTGTGGGAGGTGTATTTGGGTAAGCGTTAGACACACTCAGGTAACATAAGGGTAATGATGGAGAAATCGAGTAAAACCATGGCAAAACACTGGAAAAATTGATGAAATGGAAGGATAAATTGATAGAGACATCGCGTAAACTATGGCACGATTGAGTAAAATTGGAGGAAAAATTGTGAAAAAACACTGGGGAGACTGGAATGGAGGGGAAAATGATGTCGAGTAAAGCTACGGAAAAGCAATGGAAAAAAAATGTGGCTTCGATGTGAGACTATTAGCGATGGAAAAGCAATGGAAAAATCGAGGGACTATGATGAAGAAGTGGAGTAAAACAATGGAAAAACAATGGAAAAATTGCGGCTTTGATGTGGGACCAAAATGATGCCAAGTAAAATAGGAGTAAAATGACGGAAATTGATGGGATGGAAACACAATGGAAAAATTGAGGCTCGGATGTGGGACCATTATCGCGTAAAACACGCGTGAAACAATGGAAACACAATGGAAAAATTGCGGTTTCGATGTGTGACCACTATGGAGTAGAAGCACGGAAATAAAACCATATGGAAGAAACGAGCAAAACCGTTTATACGGTGCAACGGTAGGGATTGTGGGAGGTGCATTTGAGGACCTTCGCAGCCTACTTCTGCACCTTTCAGCTTCGCCCGCTGCAGCGAGACAAAAGCTCGTGCGTTCCTGGCACCACCTCTCCTCGATCTACTCTGTTTCCCGCATCCTCCCTCTTCCTCTCCTTCTTCTTCGCACCCACCTTCGCACTCCCCTGGCTTTCGTTCCTCCCTTCTCAGGTTCCTCTTGTGAAATGTGCAGTAGGGTGAACCATGCAGGCGAAGCGTCAGAGCCCGCAAGTGCCACAACCCAAGGCCTTTCTGCTTATTTGGTCACTTTTGTTTGCATCAGAATTCGTTGATGATGTTGCACCAGCTTGGCATACAGCAGGCCGAAAGAGAGACTCCTGCAGAGGCTCACATTTCTTTTTTGGCCAACACTTCTATGCGGCCCTGTACATTATTTTACATTTTACATTGAACCACGACAAACTTTGCAGGTTGAGGTCGTGACAAAAACGCCAGATGTGGTTGCCGCATTTTCAGTAGAGCATGGAACTACAGTATGAATCAGTATGAAGTTTGAAAGCGTCGCATGTTCACTTCTGCTCTACCCTAGAAGCCCGAAGCAAGTGTTTGGTTTTGGTGCCTGGTTGGGGCCTACAATCCTGGGGTGGACACACATGATCTTCTGAACTGCAGGGTGCCATGCTGCTATAGACAATTTTCAGATCATTGCATTCCACGTGAAAATTGTGATCCACAGCGACAGTCTTGCTAGAGTCTTGCTTTTGGCAGTTTCTTGTGAATGAAGGGTCGAGGGGGTAGTAGCACCTTTGTGCGTAGGTTTTCGTCAGTTTCGCTTCCCCGACCAGTTGTTTTGATAGTCTTGATATACATCACGCCTTTCAAGTTGTGCTGTCCATCTGGCTTGAAATCGAACCAAGGTAGTTGAGGCAGAAACGAATGTCTCGGCTTTGATCCAGGAAGCAGAACCGAAGCTTCCTTCGGTTGCAGTCAGTCAGGACAGCTTTGCTGCCTGCAACACAAACGAAGGGTAAGACAGACATTATTTGCATGTGATACTCTTTTCTGATATTTTTGGTATTTTTTCTTTATGTTTGGCTTTTCTGCTTATTTGGTCACTTTTGTTTGCATCAGAATTCGTTGATGATGTTGCATCAACTTGGCATACAGCAGGCCGAAAGAGAAACTCCTGCAGAGGCTCACATGTCACGAAAGGTAGCTCCAGAGGGGCTACCTTGAGTTTTACTTTACGAAGTAAAGGGGAGGGCGGCCAGCCCCGTTACCTGATTCTTCAGGAGATTGCTAGTCATTTTAGTAACCCCCCCCCCTCCACACCTCCCACGCACCCTAAGAGCAGACTCAAAACATTGTAATTTACAGTATTTTTGTTCTTTTTGGATCAAGAAACCACATTTTGCTACATGGTGAAACCTCCGTAAATACCAGTGTTTTTGCTAGGTGCTGGCCAAAAAACACTGTAAATACCGTGCTTTTTACTACCAGAGGCAAAAAACATCGTAAATACTGTGGTTTTGGGCTTCCGACCCGCCAAAACATCGGTATTTACGGTGTTTTTTGCTCCGAGAGTTGCAAAAACACGCGAAAACACCACCGATTTGACGATTTTCGGCCACTACGGAACCGAGCAAAAACGCTGCAGGGGTAACACCAACACCAACAACAACAACAACACCAACAGCAACAGCAACAGCAACAACAACAACGACGACAACAACAACAACAGCAACAACAACAACAACAACAACAACAACAACAACAACAACAACGCACAACGCACAACGCACAACGCACAACGCACAACGCACAACGCACAGCGCACAGCGCACAATGCACAACGCACAACGCACAAACACACACACACAACACAAAAACACACAACACACACACACACAACACACACAACACACACACACACAACACACACACACACAACACACAACAACACACACGCAACCACACACAACAACACACACACACAACAACACAACAACACACAACAACACACAACACACAACAACACACAACAACACAACGCAACACACAACAACACACAACAACACACAACAACACACAACAACACACAACAACACACAACAACACACACAAAAACAACAACACACAACAACACACCACATTACACCACAACACAACAACAACACACAACAACACACAACAACACACAACAACACACAACAACACACAACAACACACAACAACACACAACAACACACAACAACACACAACAACACACAACAACACACAACAACACACAACAACAACACAAACAACACACAACAACACACCACAACACAACAACACACCACAACAACACACAACACACACACAACAACACACAACAACACACAACAACACACAACACACCACAACACACAACAACACACAACAACACACAACAACACACAACAACACACAACAACACACAACAACACACAACAACACACAACAACACACAACAACACACAACAACACAACAACACAACAACACACAACAACACACAACAACACACAACAACACACAACAACACACAACAACACACAACAACACACAACAACACACAACAACACAACAACAAACAACAAACAACAACAACAACAACAACAACAACAAACAACAACAGCAACAACAACAACAACAACAACAACAGCAACAACAACAACAACAACACGAACACGAACAATACCAACACCAACAACACGACCAACAACACGACCAACAACACCAACACCACCAACAAACCCAACCACACCAACAACACTAACAACACTAACAACACCAGAAACACTACCACCACCAACAACACCAACAACACCAATACCAACAACACCAACAACACCAACACCACCAGCACCACCAACACCACCAACACCACAACCACCACCAACCCCAACCACATCGCCGAAGCCTTTCAGTCGCTTTTAGCAGACTCCCCTTCATATTTTTAGAAAGAAAATGGCCGCGTCGCTTTTACCAGACTCCACTTTATGTATTTTTCCCTCCCCTCTCCCCTTCATTTTTTCTTCGGTTCCTTTCTTGTTTACCTACCTTTCGTGTTCCCCCTCTCAAGTCTTCTTTGGCCAACACTTCTATGCGGCCCTGTACATTTTTTTACATTGAAACACGGCAAACTTTACTCTCTCCAAAACTTGCCTTGAGCTGCCTAGCTACCCACAGAAATATATGAATAACCTGATGCCAAGTTAGTGAAACATGTCAAAACAGTGGGATTGAGGCCATATTAGTTTAAAGCGTTTGACATTATCCTTTCTAAGGTGAAATTGCACCCGATAGTCTAACGGTCTAGGATAGCCTCTTTTCCAGCCAATACAGCCAATACCTACCATGTCAACATGACAAAAGGACAAGCCAAGTTAGGTGGACAACACTTGTATGGCTTGGTGTCCCCGCAGCTGAATTCTTGGACCTGTTGTGTTTCCCTGCAATCATTTGCTCTATTGAATCCAGATTTCCTGGGTTTTTCCTTCAAATTGGGTCTTCCTGGTCTAAATTCTAAATTGTCGGCACTTCGGATGGTTCAGGGGATGTTTAGGTGATTTTTGCAGCCAAGTGTGTGTGATCCCATGAACTTTAAATTAACTTTAAATGCCCGACAAACATCCAAACAGTGTGTTTTCTGGTTGCGTCGCCCCTCGTTGCGTACCTGAAGCCTCTGGTGGCTTTTCCACAGTGGCTCCTCGCAGCTGGGACCTGTCGTGGCTGTCACCGTTGCGCCTCCTTGCCCTCGTTGACAGGAAGTGGAAACCCTCTATTTAGACATTTAGTTTGCCTTCCATGCCTGTCCTCTGTAAAAGCTGTCCCTGCTCCTCGGCACTTCTGGCATTTGTTCTGTTCCCTGCTTTCATTCCCCATGATGGCCATATGGGGCAAAAGAATTACCGTTTTGCTTGGCTTCGGTGGGTTTCATCGTGTTTGGGTGGGAAACCCAAACAACATGACAAAACCAAGGATGGGCTGGGTTTTGCTGGCAACCTCCCATGGTTGCATATGACTTGTGAAAATCCATGTTGGCCACTTCACTTTTGGATTTTGTTCGATGTGATCTGGATCTTCACCGCCTGCCGTTTCCAATCGTACATGTGGAGAATCCTATCCCAAGAGCTATGTTAGGTAGATTTCTCTGAGAAAACGCATATTCTCCACCGTGTTCGCTTTCTTTGGGAAGTTCTGGGTTCTTTCTTTATTAGTAGCCATTCCTTCCATTTTTGTTGAAATGAGGGCGGCCTGACAGGATGTCTTGCAAGGGGAAAAGGAAACAATATTGATGAAAGGGATGAACACAAGTGCTGACATAGCCTCGCTGTAAGCAACTGGCCAGACTTGCAGATCATGGATAGGGGCTGATAGAGGCTATGTTAGCAGGATCTCTGCTTGCCCAGGATAGAGTGAACTTCCCCAGGAGAAATGCAATGATTTTAGTGGTTGTTTTCCACGAAAAATCGTTGACATGTTGGATGTAGCTTTGAAAAAGGGGACATGTTAAAATGCACACTATTTTTTGAACCCAAATTCCCCAAGGAAACCCTCTTTACAATGAAGACTTTGTTTGTTACAGTAATTCCCGAGAGCGTCTGAGCGAAGGGTTCTTCTAATAGTGGGGGTCTGTCAAGCCCTTTCACATCTTCACATCTTCACATCTTCACACAACATCTTCAAATCTTCAAATCTCCACATCTTCTCATCCTCACATCCTCACATCTTCACATCCTCATATCTTCACATTGTCTCATCTTCACATATTCTCATCTTTTCATCTTCACATCTTCACATCTTCTCATGTTCACATCCTCACATCATCAACCCTCTTCACATCTTCTCATCTTCTCATCCTCACATCTTCACATCTGTTCATCTTCACATCTTCTCATCTTCACATCCTTACATCCTCACATCCTCACATCTTCACATCTTCTCACATCTTCACATCTTCTCATCTTAAACACTTACTATATGGGTTTGTCGGAACATTTTCAATCTTGGGCCCACCCCGAAGTCCCATGGTTTATCATCATGTCCGCCAACAAGCTTGCCATTTGATGCCATTTCGGTGGATAGCCCACTTTCAGCTGAAGCTAGCATCCACTTGTATCAAGGTGTTCACGTTTGGTTGCCTAAATTGAGCCAAGCGCTGTGGAGGTGTGGCCCTGATGAAACCTAGTGATTCCGAAGCCGACAAGGTCGGTCTCAGGGATCGACGGCTCATGAATCAGCGGGTCAGAATTCGGACATTACGAGAATCGTTTTCGTTTTTTTTTTTTCTGCTGGATTTACTGTAGTTGTGCACCAAAGATCTGACTCATTTCTAAGGCCTTTGCATCTGGTGCCCCAAGGTTCGGTTGGGTAGATCTGCAGTTGTGAAGTTTCCAAAAGACCATTCCTCACTTTGCCATTAAAATGAAACTTGGCACTGTGCCCTGGAACCAAAAGAGTGTGATGGCCCCTTCGCTGAATGAGGAAGCCAGCGCAACTTTCTGCTAGTTTCTGGCTTCCGGAGTGTCTTGGGCAGAACAGCCGGCTTGCTGATTTCAATTTGAATCGCAAATCCAAGTTGAGCAACTCAGATCTGGGTAAAGGCTTTGCTCAGCCCTAAGGTTGAGAAACCAAATATCATCCTATCTTGATGTGCCGGCACTGTGTGCTCAGCGAGCCACAGCTCGTGAGAACTACTCACCGAAGGCCTGCGCTGCTGCGCTTTGTTGAGATTCGTTTTTGCGCATTGTTTTTTTTTGGGTGGCCCAGGCTTTTGTTGCTCACCTTGTGCAGCTTGTCCGACCTGAAACGCCAATCCCTCAGATGGCAGACTGTGAAAGTGTAGCGTGGCAGGGAAGACCGCACTTGAAAATGCAAATCGGTTGCCAGGCCTTCTACAAGTTCCACAACTTCTACAAGTTCCACAACAACGGAGAAACCAAAAACGACCACAACGGAGAGTTCCACCAGCTCCACATCCAGCGGCTCCACGACTTCGACCACAGCAACGACGACAAAGAGACCCTACAGTGGCGTTGCCAAGAAAATTTCGATGGTGTTTGTGAATTGGATATGACTCAAAATGTAGGAAAAACACCAAGTTTGGATTAAAATTACAGATGACACTGACTCAATTTTGAGGACTTACTGGTGACCCATTTTGAAGATTTGTGAAGGACTGCTTGGGTAACTTGAGTGAACTGGGGAACCTCAGCCAGTGGCCAGGCTAGTTTTTTTTTGACATCCAACGGGGCAACCCAGCCCCAATTCGCAAGTTACGACACGAATGTTGGATGTTGTAAAGACGCGTGGCAGGATAAGCCACTTCCTGCAAACGCTTCTTTCATTAGGGGAAATGAAGTTCATGCAAGAGAAAGGAATAGTGGTTGTTCCCCTCAACCAATTGTACATTTCATACGTTTTTCCCTATGAAAAAAAGGGGGGAAAAAGGCACCCCCACCCACGAAGAGAAGCTTCCACCGCGGGAGTACGCGCAAGTGTTTGCTCGGGAATGCTTTCAACTCTTCGCGCGGTTTCGAGGCGCAACTATGTTAGAAACAGATCACTAGCATTCACTTGGTTTGAAGAGTGCAAAGAACATTCTTCAGTTGAAGCCAACACATGAGACATGCAAAATTCAGCTATTCATGTTGAGGGTATTGAATGCCGAATATGACCAACTGATGGTCATGGCACGGATGAATGTTGGAGCCCTGAGGTGCCATGTGCATCTTCGACGCCGGCGCACCGGCTTTTCGACTATGGTGGGCGAGCAACCCTGGAGCAATCACCCACTTGTTGACCTGCTGGATAGAACACAACAATTCATTGGACCCAAGGGGGCAAACGATAGTTCTCGGAGCTTCGCTGAATGTCTTCAACGATTTGGACTGGGGTGCATTGCATCTCAAGCAAATGTTTGCTGCAGAAATCATTCGATTGGAAACTGAGAGCCGCCACCCGGGTGTGCAAAAATATGTGTCTACAATTTTGCATCGGTTCCCGGAGATCCGATCATTGGCCTGCGCAGCAAGTGCCCCAGACACACGTGCTGGCGCGCTACGCAAGCCTCCTCCCATTTGGACTTAAAGCTGCCCCAGAAGCCCTCTTCGAAAGGATCTTGCAGCTGAGTGTGACTCATTGACCTGAGCCATGAAAAGTTCCGCAAACCCTCACTTGACGGTGTTTTCCTTCTGTTTTTTGAGTTGACCTTTCGTGGAGATCAACAACCGGTCAGGCCTCCTGTAGGCAATAACTGTGGTGGGCCAGCAACCGTGGAGCAATCGCCCACTTGCTGGATAGAATTTTGGACAGAACATACTTCATTGTCCCCGCTTTTGCATTGGGCCTAAAAACCGGAATTGCATGTCTGTGAGACGCTGGACCGGGGGGCGCTGCGTGTCCAGCAAATGTCTGCTGCAGAAGTCATACAATCGATATACTGAGAGCTGCATCCAGTATATGCAACGGGCTGTGCCCAACCTTTTGAGCAAGTTCCAAGAGATCCGAAAACTTTGACAGCAATCCATCCAGGATTCCCTTTTGATTTGGAAGCTTCTTGCGTTGAAACCATTTGAAACCCAGATATGATATGGGCTGGCATTTCTTCTCCAAGCTGCTTATATGAGTGCAAAGGGCTGTTCCAGAGATCTGAGAGCTTCGCCCCATTGTGTTTTATTTTTGCGCATTGAATGCATCATGTGTGGGACTTGATGATGGTCGTGGTGGTACTAACTGCGTTGATCTTGGAACCCTGAGGCAGCAAATGCCTGTTCGAAACACGGGCTATGAACTTATGGTGGGCTAGCAACCCTGGAGCAATGGCCAATTTTTTGGCCTGCTGGATACAACATAGTTCATGTCCCGGCCTGAGGAAGTTCTAATGCTCTCAATTGCAAAGGGTGTCTTCGAGAATCTGGATGCCGAGTGTGGCAAACAGACGTTTGCTTCAGAAGTCGTGCGATTGGAGTCTGAGAGCCGTGTGAAGTTTGTACAAGAAGTCGATCCCCTTAAAAATTGAGGACCTCAGGTAAAGCTTCCAATGAGATCCAATGAGGGGTTTATGTAAGCTTTTCGGGCACGCCCCAAGTTTGTGTTGGGCCCCCTAGACCAGAGCAACATTGGTGACAACAGCTGACGACTTGCACTTGCAAAACATAAGAATCATTATAAGAGGCAATATTTCTCCGTTCAATACCTGAGAAAAAAATATGTCGGTGTTTTGATCTTTGAGAGCACCAGATTCCTTGAACAAGCTGTTACAGCTACCAAGCAAGGCCATGGAAAACTTTCACATACTGTAACATTTGACTTCTTCCATTTTGCCACTCAAATCACTTGAAGCAAACCAGCAAAACTAGAACCTCCTCATAGCGCCTGTGTTTTCATCTCTTTAGAAGTAAGCCACCGTAGCCAGCAAGACATGGAAAATCACCGCCTTGTGAAAGCTGCATTTATCATAATCATAACCAATTGTTCTTACATGGTCTCTGCTAGACCATTCAAACTCTCACACAGCAACTGCACCTTGGAGAACTGCTGGGATTTCCTGCCTTTGAACCCAATGGAAGCCCGGTGTGGACCCCAATGGCCCGAGGCGCCTGAGCCTCAAAAAATAACTCCAGCTCAGTTCAGTTTGTAACTTGGAAATCAAATGAAATCAACACGTTGTGTGGATCTCCTGAGGTCAGAACGTTTTTGGAATTGGAACGTTTTGGCGCCTGGCGCCAAGTCGTAGTTTCTGAATCTTGGGTCGAGTGATTTCCAATTCAAAGAAACCCTGGATTCTGGATCTCCAAAGGTTTTCTCCGGGGCAGGCATTGCCGTTCACTAGTGGAGGCAGGCGCTGTTCGGAGTCGTTTCTTGCAGTCACAAGAGAACATGGAAAACGAGGAAAACTCTTTTGATTTACTTCCAGGCGTTGCAGCGTTGCAGAGGAAACATCACAATGATTTGATTCTCCCCACCAAGTCTCCATCTCTCCATTCCCCTCGCCCTCTCTCTAACCCGCGAAGGACACCTGCAGTCAAGCCCAACGGCCACCTGGTGCGTGCCCGAATGGGCCCAAAAGCCTGGGGCTCAAGAAAGTTGTGCTCCAGTTCCATTTGTGCAGACCTGGTATTTGTAAGTTGAATGAATCTCCTGAGGTCAGAACCTGTTTGGAACGTTTCGGCGCCTGGCACCCAGTCGTAGTTTCTGAACCATTGCTCGAGTAATTTCCAATTCAAAGGAACCCTGGATCTGCAAAGGTTTGCTCTGGGGGAGGCATGGCCTTTCACTAGTGGAGGCAGGCACTGTTCGAGCTCGCAACCACAAGAAAGAACATGGAAAGCACGGAAAACTCGTTTGCTTGACGCAAGAACTTACTGCGACTCATGGCACAAAACGTTGCAGCGATTTTCTTTGAGCCAGTTTTCCGCTCGTATGGTGGTGAAGGACCAGTTGAAGCACTTCGACTGTCAAATGAAGAGCTAAAACGTCAGTTGGCACCCCAGGGCGGAAGGACACAAGTAATATTCTCCATGTTTGTTTTGTCCAAAAACACCCACCAAAATGGTCCAAATAAATTCCTCTTGTGGGCTTTTCGGTCTTTTGAATATCTACTCGTGTCGGTTTGGGTTTGGGGGTCACCCTGTTGCTATGCAGCGAGGTGCGAAAACTTGGCTCACGACCTGCGAAATCTGTGGGTCAGAAACCAGGCACCGCCAGAAATTCGAAATGAAATCCGTAGGAGTAAAACCTGGACCAACACAAAAAGTTCCATGGTTCAAGACGCCCAAAAGTGCGATGCCATGCGTTGAACATGTTGAACTACTTGTTGACCCTTTAGCAAGGTCATCCGATCGGTGAATAGAGGTTGTGATATGTTGTGATATGGATTATGAGAACGAACATGATGGCGACCATGGCTTAAATGAAGGCTCCAACTCCTTCCAAGATTCGTTCGCCGGTTTTATGTATGCAGATCCTGACAGGAACTGGAGGAGGCGCTCTCCTCTCACAAGGCCCCTGAGATGTCTTGAGTTGGATTGAGAAGTCTGACAGTTGACTATAGCTTGTACTTTGACATTGGTTGATCCCAACAATTGTACTTTGACAAGGTTCATCCCCAAAAACCCATCAGGAAATGAACATTCGATATTCCTGGCGCGGTTTTGCTTCGTGCAAACTTGTTGATATCAACCAGATTCAGCATGTGAGACGGGTACATTCGAATGCAGAACTTGGTGCAAGGCCCAACAACAAGAATTGTGGGCCAGCACTCCCCTGAGTTGCAGATGCGGCCTAGTGCGGTGTTTCACTTGTACATGAACGATTCTGTAGACTTGACTGTATTTTGTATTTTCACAATATAATATCTCAATAAATTTGATTATAAAAGATGATTCACATACTTGAAGTGCGGATTTTCCAGCCTGCCGAGTACCAAAGGGCACTTCCCAGCTCTCAAGGCCAAGATCGAATCAAATATTTGGAAGAGCAACTGCAAGCTGCACAGGCGTCTCGGAGCGAGAAAGCACATGAAAACACGATCCACATATCACCATACATGGTTCAAGCTGAGTGCGACGCCGCAAAATGCATCGTTGTCAGTAAAGCAGATTAAATTCCGGCGCTTGTTACGTGGTTCCCTACGACGGGCTGGTGAACACAGGGGCATATATCGCTCGCAAGTGAATATTTGATATGTTTGGCAGTATTTTACACCCTGCAAACTTTACTATTTCAGTATGCAAGGTGGATGGATACATCCCAAAGCAAAACTTGGCACAAGGCCTAGAAACAAAAACTGGGAATCAACGTTCCTGAGCCACTAGAAGACCATTTTCAGGTTTTGCTGCTGTGGCAGGTTGACGAGGAGACGGAGCCAGACAGCACAGACGTTCCTACTGATGATTCCTCTGGTGATGAGGCTCCATGGATACTGATGAACAAGTGTGACATCAGATCTTTTTTCCGCCAAATCACAAGGGTGACACCGCAGCGTTTTTTTGCTATAGCAAAGACTAGCCAAGTGATGAGGCCATTTGTCTCGCATCATAGTGCAACTTGTTGATGCATTGTAGGCTACTGAGTCGGAAAGCTCCGACACACACGGCACGTCTGAGGCGCTTGCCATTTTATTTGGGCAGTCGAAGGGCTGAACGATCGTAGAATCAAACCTTTCTCCATCAAAGCATGAATTGACAGTTGCATCGCCAAGACATGCAGTTATCTACTGTAATACACATAACTCACATTAACAAGTTACTCTTGTATGCTTTGCAGTGTTTGGAACACCTTTCCGACCTTCCGGTCACGAACGCACGGCTGGCATACGAACATGAATACAACCCTAAAGATTGCAAGGGTCTGCACAGGTGTTTCCAAATTTGCTAGGCACTGGTGAAGCTCCTTGAGGCCTCTTTCTCGACTTGTCGAATTCATGCCAAATCCCCTGCATTACATAATTTTATTCTGTTTTCACGTGGTTCAGGTCTTCATACTCAGTTGCCGGAACGGCGTTGCGAAATCAAAGGACCTAGAGGCCAGGAAACAACTTAAAGGTCGCCATGTCACGGCAAAGTATTTTGACGGGAACACTTGCAACTAGAGGCCTCAATTTGCAATTGTACATGATTGTGGCAGGCTGTGTTTGATGCACCAGAAGCCCTGCATGAGGAGAAAGAACGCAGACATTCAATGTTCTTATAGGGATCTCGGCTTGAATCATGTTCGGCTTTGTGATGCATCCCAGGACCCTTCAGCATTCTCAGATCACGTTTCACCTTGTGGTGCCGAGAGCCAAAGGATTGAACAGAGGCTGTTGAATGGCGGCTTATGTACTTTGAAGCGCACCGTTAAAGATCAAACTGTTTGTTTTGTGAAAGCATTTGAAGTTTTAATGATGATTTGGAGTAGCGATGCGCATGATGCACTGTGCCCAAGGGTATGTTATTGTCACGGAGGCAAACTGACTCGTCGACAGCCTCAAAAGCTGCTGCCATACGGCTGACCCCGGCATTGCCTGAGGACTGCTGCACTAACCCTTGTCCAAAGGAAGTGGTACAAATCGGTACCAATGATTTATTTACTGCAAGCTAACTATCCTAGACTACTATCGTGGATATATTAAGAGGACATTGAACATGCAAACAAATCAAACAAATGCCACGTGTGCATCTCTCATGTTTGCGTTGTTCCGGAGAGATTTGTGCATATGAGAGACAGGATGTGACAGGTAAAGGACGGTGAATTTTCAGACAGACATGGGACTTGGACTGTGTCCCCAGACGCAAGGTGATACAACCATATATAGGAAAAATAATGAAAAAAGGGTATGCGCAGTTAATATGCAAGCTTGATCAAAGGACCCAAAGATCGCAATGGTCAATGGTCTTCACAGGTTTGTGTCATGCATTGCGCAGTACGAAACAAGAGTGTGAAGAAAAAATGCGTGACGAAGTCAGCACGAAGGTTGCAATAGCAAAAATCACCACTTCTTGCAAAACCTCACCAGAAAATGTACAATCGCAAAAGGTAGCAAAAGTGGTAGGCAAAGCGCGTGTCTTTCAACATCACATGCCAGTTACGGAAAGCAGGACAAAACCTGCCGTGTTGAAGAACAGTTGCCCATCGCTAGCAAGCCCAAACCTGAATGAAGTGTTGGCAAAACACTAAGCATGTGGACGATCAGCATCGAACAAACATCAGGAAAGTATAGGCACCTTCCAGCATTACTTTGTTTTTTACCAGTAACAACAAGCAAATCGAGGAACATTTGCCACCAGACGCAAGGTGATACAACTATATAGGGAAAAAAGGGTACGCAAAACACTTTTGTATGACCTGTTCAGGACTTGCCGGAACCACCCTTGGCTCCCCTCGAAGACGCAGATGACAAGGAAGAGGAAGATGACAAGGCCGAGCGACAGCAACATGATTTTTGAGGTTGATATCTTGTTTGGACTTGCATTTGTGGATGTGTCGAAGAGAAAGGCCCTGGCCTAGGATTGGGTGATATCAAGTGATATAAATTCCTAAACTTCCTAAACCTTCCCCAAGTCATCAGAACGCTACTTCCTGATGTGGCAGGTTGATGAGAAGGAGACGTCGAAGCAGCAAAGGCGGCTTGGCAGTTCGCAATCCTGTCCCAGCCAAGTGCAGTTGTCATACTGGACAACTTCGCTATTTTTTGCCGCCAGGCTTTCTATTGGTTCGCAAGACTCAGACAGATCGGACAGCACGAAGATTCCTAGTGACGATGGTTCGTTTGGCGATGAGGCTCCACGGGTGACGATGAACAAGTGCAACATCCAAGTCTTGTCATCTCGTTTTTTTTTGGACAGTCAAGAGGTAAACCTGTCTGTCGCAGCTTTTTTTTCCCTGCTGCAACAAAGACTAGCCAAGTGAATGAGGTCATTTGTTTTGCATCATAGTAGTTTTTTTTTCCATTGCAACTTGTTGATGCATTGACGTAGGCGACTGCGACGGAAAGCTCACAGCGCACATTGGAGGCGCCTGCCATTGTGTTTGCATGTCCTAGCCTGGCGTGGTCGAACAGAGTGAACTGTCACGCAATCAAATCAATTGGTGCATACTCTGCTTTTTGTTGCCGTTCAAACACCTTTCCAGTCACGCATGCGCAGTTAATATGCAAGCTTGATCAAAGGACCCAAAGATCGCAATGGTCAATGGTCTTCACAGGTTTGTGTCATGTATTGCGCAGTACGAAACAAGAGTGTGAAGAAACAAGATGAAGCCCACGAACCCGAATGCTCACACGTATGTTAATGGTACAGATGTCAAAACACATGGTTATGCAGTGACGCACAATACCTTTCTGCAAGAGTTTATTTGAACAGTCTTGTACATGTTTCCCTTGTTACCAGTCTGCAGTGTGGAGTGGAAAGTGTAGAGTGTGGAGTGTGAAGTAAGGAGTGTGAAGTAAGGAGTGTGAAGTAAGGAGTGTGGAGTGTAAAGTGTGGAGTGGGGAGTGTAGAGTGTGTAAAGTGTAGAATGTGGAGTGTAAAGTGTAGAGTGTGGAGTATGGAGTGTAAAGTGTAGAGTGTGGAGTGTAGACGAGTGTGGAGTGTGGAGTGTAGAGTGTGGAGTTAGGAGTGTAAAGTGCAAAGTGCAAAGTGTGGAGTGTGGAGTGTGGAGTGTGGAGTGTAAAGTGAGGAGTGTAAAGTGTGGAGTGAGGAGTGTGGAATGTAAAGTGAGGAGTGTAAAGTGTGGAGTGAGGAGTGGAAAGTGTAGAGTGTGGTGTGTAGTGTGGAGTGTAAAGTGTGGAGTGTAGAGTGTGGAGTGTGGAGTGTAAAGTGCAGAGTGTGGAGTGTAAAGTGTGGAGTGTAAAGTGTGGAGTGAGGAGTGTAAAGTGGAAATCGTGGAGTGTAAAATGTAACGTGTGGAGTGTAGAGTGTAGAGTGTAGAGTGCAAAGTATAGAGTGTGGAGTGTAAAGTGTGGAGTGGGGAGTGTAGAGTGTAAAGTGTGGAGTGGAAAGTGTGGAGTGAGGAGTGTAAAGTGTGGAGTGTGGAGTGTAAAGTGTGGAGTGTGGAGTGTTGAGTGGAAAGTGTGGAGTGTGATGTGTGGAGTGTAAAGTGTGGAGTGAGGAGTGTAAAGTGTGGAGTGTGGAGTGTGGAGTGTAAAGCGTGGAGTGTGAATTGAGAAGTGTAAAGTGTGGAGTGTGGAGTGTAAAGTGTGGAGTGTAAAGTGTGGAGTGAGGAGTGTAAAGTGTGGGGTGTGGAGTGTGGAGTGTAAAGTGTGGAGCGAGGAGTGTAAAGTGTGGAGTGAGGAGTGTAAAGTGTGGAGTGTAAAGTGTGGAGTGTGGAGTGTTGAGTGGAAAGTGTGGAGTGTGAAGTGCGGAGTGTAAAGTGTGGAGTGAGGAGTGTAAAGTGTGGGGTGTGGAGTGAGGAGTGTAAAGTGTGGAGTGTAAAGTGTGGAGTGTGGAGTGAGGAGTGTCAAGTGTGGAGTGTGGAGTGTGGAGTGTGGAGCGTAAAGTGTAGAGTGTGGAGTCTGGAGTGGAAAGTGTAGAGTGTGGTGTGTAGAGTGTGGAGTGTGGAGTGTAAAGTGAAGAGTGTAAAGTGTGGAGTGTGGAGTGAGGAAAGTGCCACGCTTGCCACGCAAAACGACATGACAACCTGCTTGGAAACCTTCGAAAAGGAGAGATTTTGCGGCTTCCCCCATAAACACGACGACGCCACAGGAAAAACCAGAGACCCGAGACGAGACGCATGGATGCAGAAAAACGAGCATTTCGTGCGAGACTTCCTCCAATTTTGACATTTTCAACACGTTAGCAAACAGCTTGGAATGTCACAAAGTGCCACGCCTGCCACGCAAAACGACATGACAACCTGCTTGGACACATTCGAATAGGAGAGGTTTTGCGGCTTCCCCCATAGACACAGCGAAACCACAGGAAAACCAGAGACTCGAGACGAGACACGTGGGAGCACCAAAACGAGCATTTCGTGCGAGACGTCCTCCAATTTTCACACTTTGAAACATGCCGAAGAGAGATGTTTTGCAGCTTCCCCCATAGACACGGCGAAGCCACCATAAAACCAATGACGCGAGACGAGACAGGTGGAAGCACCAAAACGAGCATTTCGTGCGAGACTTCCTCGAATTTTCACACTTTGTAGCTTCAAAATCGACGTTTTCCTAAGAGTTTTCCTTAGAACCTGAAAATTTGCAACCTCAAAATCGATGTTTCGTGCGAGGCTTCCGTCAATTTTCAGCACATCGCACAAAATGCCACGCCTGCCACGGAATTTGCACCTTGTCACCACTTGACGCAGCCCTGCCAATGCGATTTACAAAAAACACGCAACACGACACGTCTAAAGTGCTGCGCCTGCCACGAAAAATGACGATGGACACGTCCAAAGTGCTGCGCCTGCCACGAAAACTGCAACACATCTTCTGAAAACGTCGCAAAAGTATCGCGCCTGCCACGCGAAACGACTTTCGACACGTTGCAGAACACGTCTGAATGTCACGAAGTGCCACGCCTGCCACGCGAAACGAAGCAACCAGACGTCTGAAACCTCCAAAAAGGACCACCTCTGCAAAACTTCCCAGTAGGCACGGCCATACGGGGATCGCCCGAACGGTTGCGAACGGTTGCGAACGGTTGCGCTCGCGAACGCAACGTCGAGCGAACACACCCTCAACCCCCAGACCCCCAGAGTGAAACGGGAACCCTTGCTACGCATTCGGGAAAAATGCGTGACGAAGTCAGCACGAAGGTTGCAATCGCAAAAATCACCACTTCTTGCAAAACCCCACCAGAAAATGTACAATCGCAAAAGGTAGCAAAAGTGATAGGTAAAGCGCGTGTCTTTCAACATCACATGCCAGTTACGGAAAGCAGGACAAAACCTGCCGTGTTGAAGAACAGTTGCCCATCGCTAGCAAGCCCAAACCTGAATGAAGTGTTGGCAAAACACTAAGCATGTGGACGATCAGCATGGAACAAACATCAGGAAAGTATAGGCACCTTCGAGCATATTGATTTTTTTTAATGATTTTTTACCATCAAGAACAAGCAAAACGAGGAACATTTGCCACCAGACGCAAGGTGATACAACTATATAGGGAAAAAGGGTATGCGAAACACTTTTGTATGACCTATTCAGGACTTGCCGGAACCACCCTTGGCTCCCCTCGAAGAGGAAGATGACAAGGAAGAGGCAGATGACAAGGCCGAGCGACAGCAACATGATTTTTGAGTTTGATATTTTGTTTGGACTTGCATTTGTGGATGTGTCGAAGAGAAAGGCCCTGGCCTAGGATTGGGTGATATCAAGTGATATCAATTCCTAAACTTCCTAAACCTTCCCCAAGTCATCAGAACGCTACTTCCTGATGTGGCAGGTTGATGAGAAGGAGACGTCGAAACAGCAAAGGCGGCTTGGCAGTTCGCAATCCTGTCCCAGCCAAATGCAATTGTCATACTGGACAACTTTGCTATTTTTTGCCGCCAGGCTTTCTATTGGTTCGCAAGACTCGGACAGATCGGACAGCACGAAGATTCCTAGTGACGATGGTTCGTTTGGCGATGAGGCTCCACGGGTGACGATGAACAAGTGCAACATCAAAGTCTTGTTAGTCTTGTCATCTCGTTTTTTTTCGGACAGTCAAGAGGTAAACCTGTCTGTCGCAGTTTTTTTTCCCCTGCTGCAACAAAGATAGCCAAGTGATGAGGTCGTTTGTTAACTTGTTGATGCATTTGACGTAGGCGACTGCGACGGAAAGCTCCGACATACAGGGCACATCTGAGGCGCTTGCTATTTTGTTTGCATGTTCTAGTGGCGCTGTCGAAGGGTTGAGTCGTCATACAATCAAACATTTCTCCGCCAAAGCATGAATCGACATTTACATCACAAAAACATGCAAAGACAAGGGTTTAGACACCTGGGGCAAGTTCTGGTTTTTGTTGTCTTTTAAACACCTTTCCCGTCACCAACGCGCAGTTAACATACAAACTCGATCAAAGGACCCAAAGATCGCAATGGTCTTCACAGGTTTGTGTCATGCATTGCGCAATACGAAACAAGAACCTGAAGAGAAACAAAATATGCCTGACGAACACTGAAGAGACCTGGATGAGGGACGTTTTTTGGAGCAAAAACTGGGTAAACATGAATGTAGGCATCAGCACATCAGCTGTGGGCCAGATTTGACACTTGACAGAAACAAAAACCCGGGACACTGTTTGCAGAGCCAGCATTTCGACGAACAGCTACAGTCTACAGTACTGTATATAGATTGTAGATCGACAAAAACTAAAACCCAGACATGAGAGAAGTTGCAACCAACAATAGTGAAGGCCACAGATGAATATCTTGCGAAAACTGGAAGAGGTTGGCAAAAAGCACAATGTTGATGAACAGTTGATCATCAATTCGAACCAACACCAGGAAAACATCAGGAGAAACCAGCCAGCGTGTCCATGATTTTACAGCCCCCGTTGTACCGGTAATTTTTTTTCCTGTGACTCCAGTCCGAAAATTAAAAATGCCAAGTCAGGTAAAAATCATCCCACCATGGATGTTGCAAGGTTGGGGTTCAGGAAAACAAATGTTGGAGCCAGGAAAGCAGGATTAGTAACATAAGGTTGTACCACAGGATTTTATATGTTTTGAAGATTTGCTTGCCAGGATTGCATGGTTTTCCAAACAAGGTTGGGGTACAGGAAAAAAATCTCTGGGCCAATCTGTCGAACAGGAGAGGGTAGGATCTACATAATGGTTGTGATCATACTTTTTAATGCATTTCAGTGGTTTGTAAAAAGGTTGAATCCGATAGCTTCACTGGATTTTAATTATGAACAGTTATGAACTCCGTATGGTTTTCTTCAACAATATCCTCCTCTGTGCTACCAGTTTTTTTTCCTGGGGGTTCAGTACGCTTTTTAAAAAACACTATTTTCCAAAAATCTAGCAGACAGTGGGTGAGGGTCCCGGGGCATGATATGGGGCCAGGAATAAAATATCATACCAAAAAAGGCCCAGATATTTTTTCCTGAAAGCTTCCTGACGTACAGTGACAGGAAATCAATTTCTGTCTGTTGTGATTGAGGGGGGGTTGATCTATCAGTCTGTGTATGTAAGGCATCAGGAAATCAATCATGAATGACTCTGATAATGGGTAAGTTTGTAGAATTCCCAAGGTTAGTAGCCAGGAATTTGAAGGTGGATGGATCAAATGGGAGTTTACTAGAACATATCTAAATGTCAAACCCCAGGAAAAATGTACCATGATTACTTGAGGGGGTATGATTCTTTGATTCTTTACATGACTTTGCAAAAGGGTACAAACACATATGTTCACCTTCACCAACCAAAAAAAGTGACTTCAAGAGGCCAAGGCGCAGGGGTCAAAAATAAAATCCAAGGGGCTGGACCTTTTTTGACTGAATACTTGCGGATGATCTTCAAAGGTTGGCCCCACAGGAAAAAAGTCGCATCACCAGGCCAATCATCCACAGATAGGACATGATGGGACGAATTCAAGAATTTTGTGTCAACGCGCGCCCAATTTGCAAAACACATGTTTTTTTGCTGAAAATACAGTTGTCCTTGCAAAAGGGTACAGACACACATGTTCAGCTTCACCAACCAAAAAAGTGACTTGAAGAGGCCGAGGCGCAGGTGTCAAAAATAAAATCCAAGGGGCTGGACCTTTTTTTGACTGAATACTTGCGGGATAATCTTCAAAGGCTGACCCCACAGGAAAAAAATCGCATCTCCAGGCCAATCATCCACAGATAGGACATGACGGGACGAATTCAAGAATTTTGTGTCAACGCGCCCAAATTGCAAAACAGGCTTTTTTTTTGCTGAAAATACATTTGTCCTTGCAAAAGGGGTACAACCACATATGTTCAGCTTCACCAACCAAAAAAAGTGACTTCAAGAGGCCGAGGCGCACGTGTCAAAAATAAAATTCAAGGGGCTGGACCTTTTTTGACTGAATACTTGCGGATGATCTTCAAAGGTTGGCCCCACAGGAAAAAAGTCGCATCACCAGGCCAATCATCCACAGATAGGACATGATGGGACGAATTCAAGAATTTTGTTCCAACGTGTGGCCAAATTGCAAAACAGGCGTTTTTTCCTGAAGATACATTTGTCCATGCAAAAGGGTTGTGCATTGCCGTGGGCATCTGCCGGACCGCACTCGTGAAGCCGTGGACTCTGAAAAACTGCGAGCTGTCAGGAAGTCAGGTGCCAGGAATTCATTTTTTTCTGTATCAGATTGAGGGGGGGAAGATATGGCATGTTACCAACGCAAGCATCCAGGAAATATTTTTTTCTTGGATATGAGAGGGGTAAATTTATTGGATGTTGGACGTTGGGCACCACGAAATTAGCAAAGAAAATTCAAAAAGGTGATTGGAAGTGAGATTTCGGCTTCAGAGGTTAGGAGCCAGGAATTTAAAGCTCTAAAACCTCTCTCAAAGGTTAGGGGTCATCATTTTAGACCGATTTTTTTCTAGGACTGTACCCCACGTTTTTGTACCGACGGGGATCAACAATCATGTAGAGAGGACACATCATTTCTGGTCATTTCCAACAGAGAGAGAGAGAGAAACAGTTCTGGACCTCCAAAGCCTAGTGTCATCCATCTCCCCGTCTTGAAAGATCTTGACAGCATGCGAGCAAAAAAATGATGGAGCCGGTGGAAACCCTGTGACCCAGGATTTGAATTATATGACAAGAAAAGTGTTTATGCCAAACCCTCAGCAGTTTTTGAAAGGTCGTGATCTTCCAATTCAATCGACTTGACGATCTGAATGGGGTAGGTACACATGTATCATCATAAAGGTTATGACCCAGGAAAAGAGTTGTGTCAGCGCAATGGTGGGCCAGGAGACATGTTAGTCCACATAAAGGTTGTGGAACAGGATTTTAATTTGTTTGCCCGGGAAATTGCAACTTGGTTGTTGGCTTAAATCTGTTGGGTTGTACCCTTTGGAAATCAATTCCAAAAGGTTGTGGACCAAACGATTTAAGGCATTTTTTTCCAGGACTGGACCCTTTTGAGCGGTACGACTAAGAACAAGACAAGCAAATCCAAGAAATTTTGTGCCTACAGGTATCGACATCGACGTATCTAACGTGACAGACACAACTAAGGGAAGAAGGGAAGCGAGAACTAAACTCTTTTGCAACCTGCCCAAGACTTGCCTGAACCATCCTCGGTGACCCAAAGGAGGAAAATGACAAGGCGGAGACATGTCAGCATGAGTTTTGAACTTGTGTTTTGGTGTCTGCCTAAGAATGACTGCTACAATCCGTAGTAAAATCCGAGCAAAAGTGCATCCGTAGTAAAATCCGACATATCAGACAGGCCAAATCTGCAACAGCAGAAGTAATTACATCCGAAGGTGGGACTGCAATGACCAAGCTTCAGAGAAGCGTACGTAAAAAAATCGCGGAATACTGCGACAATAGGGAAGCACCATGCTTTCCTTCGACATATGGTGAAGATATCCAATTTTGTTTCTGGCAGGTACCCGAGGAAAACAAGCGCGTATATCTTGGGAGGCAGGGTCGTTCTAGTGGATGCGTTTTGGCTGTCAGGACGTGGACAGAAGATGGCATGCATTCTACTTCATTCTGCAATAAAAATGACCAGATAGAGTACATCAAAAGTCATTTTGGTCAGTCACCGGTTATGATGATTTTGTCATATCATAATCAAAGGAAGTTGGGAAACAATACTTCCGAGTTACGAATGACTTTTACTTGATGGAATTGACTATGATGAAGGGTGGTACGTGATCTAACAATACATAACAGAACAATACACAACAAAAAATAAGAAGCGGTGGAATTGACCTTGATGAAGGGTGGTAGATCACATAACAATACATGACATAACAATACATAACAAAAGAATAAGAATCTATGGAATTGACCTTGATGAAGGGTGGTACATCACATCACAATACATAACATAACAATACATAACAAAAGAATAAGAATCTATGGAATTGACCTTGATGAAGGGTGGTACATCACATAACAATACATAACAAAAGAATAAGAACCTATGGAATTGACCTTGATGAAGGGTGGTACATCACATAGAATAAGGAAGCTATGACAGAGGGTGGTGACGAAGGGAGGTGGTGACGATTGGAAGTGGTGACGATGGGAAGTGGTGAGGAAGGGAAGTGGTGACGATGGGAAGTGATGATGAAGGGGAGTGGTGAGGAAGGGAGGTGGGGACGATGGGAAGTGGTGAGGAAGGGAAGTGGTGAGGAAGGGAAGTGGTGACGATGGGAAGTGATGATGAACGGGAGTGGTGAGGAAGGGAGGTGGGGACGATGGGAAGTGGTGAGGAAGGGAAGTGGACGAAGGGAGGTGGTGACGATGGGAAGTGGTGACGATGGGAAGTGGTGAGGAAGGGAAGTGGTGACGAAGCGAGGTGGTGATGATGGGAAGTGGTGACAATGGGAAGTGGTGAGGAAGGGAAGTGGTGACGAAGGCAAGTGGTGAGTTGGGGAGGAAGCCGGAGCACGAAACCTTGTGTTTTTCAGTGTCAAGTGGCTGCAGCCGGCGATGAAAGGTACCTCTGTGTTCTGCAACAAATGGTTGTGTCTATGTGTGCAGTTCTATGCGTGATTTGAAGCTGTGGTTGCAGATCGCATTGGAATGGCTGCATGATGTTGCAAGGGCTCGGTTTTGGGGAGGAAGCTGGAGCACGAAACCTTGTGTTTTTCCCCGTAAAGTGGCTAAGGTACCTCGTCTGTGCGGCGGTTGCGGCTGCGGTCGGTTTGCCTTTTTTTTTTGCCGCAGTGTAATGGTGGCTTGAAGTTGCTTTGGGTTTGCTTGTGTGTGTGTAGTTAAAGGGTGTTTTGGAATCTCCGGTTGCAGATCGCATTGGAATGGCTGCGTGACTGTTGTCATCTAGTGTTCTGGTGTTGTTCTGTGCGTAGATAGGTGCAAGTTTGCGAGTTGATGCTGCAAACCGCATTGTAATGGCTGCATGATGTTGCATGGGCTATGTTTTCGGGAGGAAGCCAGAGCACGAAACCTTTTGTTTTTCCGTGTAAAGTGGCTGCAGCCGGCGATGAAAGGTACCTCGTCTGTGCGGCGGTTGCGGCTGCGGTCGGTTTGCCATTTTTTTTTTTGCCGCATTGTAACGGTGGCTCCAAGCTGCTTTGGGTCTGCTTGTGTGTGCGTAGTTATAGGTTGTTCTGGAATCTCCGGTTGCAGATCGCATTGGAATGGCTGCATGAGGTTGCAAGGGCTCAGTTTTGGGGAGGAAGCCGGAGCACGAAACCTTGTGTTTTTCCGTGTAAAGTGGTTGCAGCCAGCGATGAAAGGTACTTCATCTGTGCGGCGGTTGCGGCTGCGGTCGGTTTGCCTTTTTTTTCTTGCCGCAGTGTAATGGTGGCTTGAAGCTGCTTTGGGTCTTCTTGTGTGTGCGTCGTTATAGGGTGTTTTTTGGAATCTCCGGTTGCAGATCGCATTGGAATGGCTGCATGACTGTTGTCATCTAGTGTTCTGGTGTTGTTCTGTGCGTAGATAGGTGCAAGTTTGCGAGTTGATGCTGCAAACCGCATTGTAATGGCTGCATGATGTTGCATGGGCTACGTTTTCGGGAGGAAGCCGGAGCACGAAACCTTGTGTGTTTTCCGTGTAAAGTGGCTGCAGCCGGCGATGAAAGGTACCTCGTCTGTGCGGCGGTTGCGGCTGCGGTCGGTTTGCCTTTTTTTCTTGCCGCATTGTAACGGTGGCTTCAAGCTGCTGTGGATGTGCTTGTGTGTGAGTAGGTTGCGACTCAGCGAGCTGATGTAACCTTATTTTTCCTTGCCCTTAAAAGAAGTTGAAAGCAACTCCTAGCGGACTCCTCTTGCGCTCTCTTGTGCGTTCTACGCGTCTCCTTGCGTTTGTGCATTTGGGTTTGTGGTTGTACTGGGTTGGGTTCTGGACTATAGAGTCCTCTTGGTTATGTTGTGGTTTGAATGCAAACCTTTCTTATTTCTTTTTGAAACCCTTCCCTGTTTCAACCACTTGTTTTATAAACTGGCTGTTGAGAGCAACTGCCTTCTTTGTCAGGTTCCAACCTTACGCAAGGATGACACGCACAATCTTGTTTGAAGAAATCTCTGTTTACACAATCAGTTGTGTCTGTTGTTTTTAGTGGTCTACGAAAATATATGTTTTCGTGTGGCCGTTGGTTTTCAAGCAGCGCCTCCAAAGGGAGGGAGGGTGGGTTCCACTTTATTGTGGACTACGTTTTTTCTTCTTGAGCTGCAATGGGGTATGATACAGTTGCCCTGGGATCCTAACAGATACGACTACATCAGCATTCATTTCTTCTTTTTGGCTACTTGGAACATTTGGGATCACTCACAGTCGGGCCATTTCGTTGAGGTGCGGTGTTTTGCATTTTTGGGCAGAGGTGACCTTCAGACCGTCTGTTGCACATGTTACGGCATTTACATTGATAGCCAGGACATTTTGTTGAGGCTGGATGAATACAGACAGTCAGAGCCAGAGTGAGTTGCCTGAGACTGATAGTTTTGTCGCCTTGCTCAATACATCGAATGCTGGATCCTCGGAGGGCTTGCAAAACCCCAGTGCTGCAGTTTACAATTCAGATGTTATTTTTTCTGCTCATGATTCACCTGAATTTGGGAATGATGTGGGTTTGCTGCATGGGTCTGGAGCTTCTGAACCTGATCATGGAGGATCGTTTCAGGGATTGGAGACCTTTGCGAAAGCCTCATCCTCAGTTGATACGCCAGCGACCCGTGCAGATTACAACAAAGCTTTGTTTGAGGCGCGCATGAGTACTATTGGGGATGCTGCCATAAAGATGCCATGTGAAACAGGAATCATGAAGCAGATTTTTGATAGTGATGATGATTCAGTTTTTCCTACAGTTGTGCCACCGGTACCTGCTGAATATTTTGCGATACCACCTGGAACAGTCGACGAGCAGACAGGGCAAGGCACTGCAGCAGATGTGCCTACGGCCCAAAGCTTGGTGAGAGATGACATTGCGTTGCCATATTGTTCATTTGCTGTGAAGGTTTTGCCAGACAGGGATATTTTTGCGGAAGACACTGTGCTTTGGGACAAGGCCCTTCAGAAGTGGCTACAAGTCTTTGAGGTTTTGGGTTGTCCTGGAACGCTTGGGTTCTCTTTGCTTGCAGAGCAGGCGTACGGTGCGACTGGAGCTCAGAGTGATGCTTTGAGAGATGCACTGGGAATCAAATCACCTAGAACTGCAGTTAAGAGGGCACAGACACTGTTGCGCTACTTTGCATGGTTACAAACGCAGTCGGCAGATTGGGAACCTTGGGGCCGTTCTTGGTGCTTGAAATATCTGGGTTCAGTTGGCTCACATGGGGTGCCGGCATCAAAGGGCACAACGCTGTTGGAGGCGCTCAGATTTTCGAAGTATGTGCTGGGAGTGCCAATTCCAGAGGGCCTGATTTTGGATCCTCAGTTGAGAGGCAGAGCGCAACGTCTCATGGCTTCCAATTCATCTTACAAACCTGCGAGGCCTCTCAAGGCCAAGGAATTGGCTGCACTGGAAAAAGCCATGGCTTCAGATTTGGATGTGAGAGACCTTTACATGTTGGGTGCAATAATTTTTGCGGTGCTGTCCAGGTCCAGGTGGTCGGATCTGAGGTTTGTGGATCAGTTTTGGGTGGAGCGTGCAGAGTTCAATGGACAACTTTTTGGGTTTGTCGAAGCTAGAACTAAGTTCCACAAAACTGCAACAAGCTTAGCAAAGAAGCAACGACACATGCCCCTGGTTGCGCCGTTACTGGGAGTGACGGATGTTGATTGGGCAAAGCACTGGTTAGCAGCCACGCAGGAGCTGAACATAGATGTTGACCATGAACCTTTTGGTGCAATTTGCAGGGCACCAGCGCACGATGGCAGCCTGTGCCGCAGATCTTGTACTACGGAGGAGATTGGAAACTTTGCAAACAAATTTCTGAAGACAGGTGGTGAGAGTGCGATCTCTTCCCATAGCTTCAAGCACACTACCCTGGCATGGTGCAGTGCCTACGGGTTGGATGAGCCGTCACGTACCTTGCTGGGTCACCATGAGTTGCAGGGTGCAAAAGCTATGGCAGTTTATTCACGGGACATGTTGGCCCCGACCTTTACAACTCTACCGCAGCATGTTGGCAAACATCAGACAGGATCACTTCAGACCCGACGAGTCCAGGACGAGCCGCATGGTTGACCTCATGAAGATTGCCGACAATGCTGCAGTTCCTTTGGAAAAACAAGCTGGTGCACCTCCTTTGCAACCAGCCGCTGGCAAAGTTTGCGACGACGGAGACGCATCTTGCGTTCCAACAACGCCCTTGGAACAGGAGACTCAAGGTGCAGCTGCAGATGACGCTGCAGATGAAGAATCCAGTGAGATACCTTCGACGAGCTCGAGCTCGAGCAGTAGTTCAGACAGAGAAGACATGCCAGCTGCACAGAATGATATACCAGGTCCAGTTTGGAGGAATAGGCGCAGTCATGTAGTGCACAGGTGTTCACAGTCAACAAGGTCAACT